AGCCGTACAATCCTTCAGACATTGTTGAATTTCTCCTGGTAATATAAAATAAATGATTTCGACAAAAGTTGTAAATATTTTTCATTGAAATTTTTAGATAATGTATATTGTAGTGAACGAACAAGATGGTCAACTTGACGCAAGTTGAGATCAAAATGGGAACTTTTCGTGAATCCCTGGCTAGAATCTACTTTCTCGCGGAAACTCTGACAGGGAGACGCAACATGCGTAGAATATGCATGCTCTAACATGAATAGAATATCAACCGGGAACGATCTTGAGAACTTTTCTGGGAATTTAAGTTCCCATTTCACGCACTTGACTTTAGCCAGAGTCCCAGAGGGATACGCAAATAATTACTACTTGAATACAAAAAGGTTATAACCACCACCTAATTTGCTATATTCAGAAAAAAAACTTTTAGCAAACTTGAGCAAATTTTAAACATAACTTACGGATCTAATCACGAAATAATGCCTGCGGCTATCCTCACCTGCAACAGAAAGGACACAATTTGATCAGACTTACTTTTGTTCCTCTTCATGAAACACACAGTTCGGTTTCAATCACAAAGAACCCATACAAGTTGACCCCAGACCCACTATGTGGATATTCGAGATGTGCTAATTCTGGCTGCGCAACACCTAAGATTTCTAAGTTCCGAAGAAAGGCCTGCATGATGCAATGGCCTCCTCTGAGAAATCCGACCCATTAACTACTGTTCTTCGTTCTAAGGAAAAATGTAGCATGAACCTTCAGAAGTTGCCAAATTTCATCGGATAAAATGCAAATTTATTTAGAAAGTGATAAATATTTTCATTTAAAATTTTCAGGAGATTTCCTTTCCAATTTGATCTAAAATTACCCACAGAAAATTTCAAGAAATAAAGTGCAATATCTTTCGAAGTCAGTTTTTTACATGGGGCAATTTGGCAACATTTGAATGTTCATACGGCGTTTTTCCTTGGTTGGCAGCGCCCGACATGAGGTTATAAAAATCTAATGCGGCGCGGAAGTTTGTTCGGGGGAAGAGCGGTTGCACAACTTTCGATGAGCAAGTTGCGTCGGATTTAGCCAAGGAGTTTGCACGGGGTGGATACACCTTGGCCGTCGGGAGGGGATGCGCCGTGGCGTGCAAGGGTGAGAAAATCAAATTACGCAACGGAGTCACCCTGCATCCCCTGCACCCAACTCGATTGCTCAACCTGGAACCCTCAAAAAGTACGCCGCCGCACATTGGAAGGAGTGAGTAGGGGAGATCGGACATAATTTGGAAATTTTAAAAGCGTACATCCTCCTTCACTGGAAAAAATAACACATTGTATCTAGAGTCCAGACTCTTGAAAACATCGACAAAAAAAAGTACTCTTGATTCAATCAGAATCTAGCTTAAATCAAGAACCAAGCCTCATATTTTCAGCGGATTTCGTTTTGATTCAAGCAAAAATCCGATTGAATCAAGAGTATTTTTTCTTGTCAATGTTTTCAAGAGTCTGGACTTTAGATCCAACGTGTTTTTTTTTTGCCAGTGTTAATACAAAATCTTAGAAGTTTAATCGTAGTTTACATTGGTATTTTAGTCAAATCACCTGTAAGAAGGACCCTTTAAAATGTACACTGGAAAAAAAAACATACACACATTGGATCTAGAGTCCAGACTCGTGAAAATGTTGACAAGAAAAAATACTCTTGATTTAATCAGATTTTTGGTTAAATCAAAAGGAAATCCGCTCAAATGAAGAATCATGGTTCTTGATTTAAGCAAAAATTCGATTGAATCAAGAGTATTTTTTCTTGTCGATCTTTTTAAGAGTCTGTACTCTAGATCCAATGTGTTTTTTTTTTTTCCCGTGTATGATGTGACGAAATAAACATTAAAATTCACAGTGGCAGTCAAATTGTCACAACCGACGTCTCCTAATGATTCGTTCTACTGTGCGCCGTGGCGATATCGATATCTCCTATGTGCAATCGAAGCCGCGCTAGGCGCAGGAATTGCGCAGGTATAGGGCACGGGCAAAAATGGTCCACGTTAATTGTTTAAATGGATTAAAACATTATTTCGCTGTAGAAAAAAACATATTGGTTCCATTTTCTTTTTATTTAGGCAAAGGAAATTTGTTTGTAGGTACACTGTGTGGACCGTGTTCATAGTCGTTCCTTAGCAACTATTCGACCACCCATGCGCGGCAAAGTATCACTTGAAATTGAAGACGAACTTGCCACGCCGACGTACTGTGCGATTTCAATGATGGTTTAAGTCGCTGGATTTAAATGAGCGACAGAGGAAATTAATAGTCCGTTTACTTGGCGTAAGTAGACGCAAAGCAACTATTCAACCACCTATGCGTGGCACAGTATCACTCGAAATTGAAGGCGAAGTTACTGCGGCAACTCATTAAGTAGTTCCTCCGACGATTAAAGTCGCTGGATTTATAGGGAACGACTATAAAAATGAATGGTCTTTTTACTGAAAGCAACTATTCCACCTCCCATGTGTAGCACAGTATCACTCGAAATTGAAGGCGAACTTACCGCGCCAACGCACTGGGCACTGGGGAGTTTTCTCCGTGTTCTGTATGACGTAGGCGCTAAATCAGTCGGCTCTCTAATTAATTAAATCTGGTCAAAATATCATGATCATAAATGCAGAACAAATCCTTTTAAAATCAAGCTCATCCTCCTTTATTAAACAAGTTTTATACCACGATTACAATACTTCCGCTTCAACTCATTTGACCATCCGCGAAGTCTAAGAACGCTACCCCTATTTCCCGCTCCCTCGACATGTCTAAGGGTTGTAAACAGGTGCGGCCCTGGCGCTGAACTCCGCCTAAACGACTCCTAATGGCTCCAGCACCACCGTTTCGGGGGCGACTCGACTATACTACCGTGCTAAGGAAGAACGCCGTATGAACATCCGAGAGTTGCCAAATTTCCTTCGATAAAATGTTTATTTTAGAAGATAGTCATGAATATTTTTCCTTGAAATTTTCAGGAACTTCAGAACAAATTACGAACAAAATTCTCTGAAACATGAGATGAAAAATGTTCTTAAGTTTACCAGGGAATTCGTATTTTATCAAAGGAAATTCGGCAACGCCCGGAGGTTCATACGGCGTTTTTCCTGAGCACGGCAGTATATATATTTATAATAAACAAGGAAGGGTCGTGGCCCGTGGAAAGCCGGGGGCGCCCGGGAAATTATTTACTCCGGGGCCGCAGCGGTATTTTGTCATCATCTTTTCGGAGTTAATTTCAGTGTTTCGGCCTGGCGGCGCTATCATTTTCAGCTTTAATTACGCCCCCTGCCAGCATCGCAAGACTGTGCGAGCCTCCCGCTCGCTTCCCGACGAGGGTTGAGGGTGGATTCGGACGGTTTGGCAACCCTCGGTTTCGTCCCCCTTGTACAAATTGGCGAATTGAAGGGATGACACGACGCAGGAAGGCCTGGCCTTTCGTTTCGCGCCGGGAGTCCCATAATGTACGCGGAATTTGCTTGCTCATTAGTTTACATAAAAGAGGGATGTTAGGTGTTTTGAAGTTCTGAACTACCGTACTAAGGAGGAACGCTTACACTGGTAAAATAGTTGTGTCCTTGTGTTACTTTTGGTTAAATAGGAAGTGAAACACAAGCCAATTCAAATTTTATGTTGATTTAGGTGTAGTTTGCGGTGAATTTAGCGCAGGAAACAATGAGAGCCTGGGAAATCCCGGAGTCAACTGAAGGCTTGCGTTATTTTGTGTTTTTCTTCCCACACTAACGCAAAATTTTGGTTACTTTTTCCGTACTGTATGGAGTGAAACACAAGCCAATTTTATGTTGATTTAGGTGCAGTTTGCGGTGAATTTAGCGCAGTAAAGAATGGGGAGCCTGGGAAATCCCGAAATCAACTGAAGGATGGCGTTGTTTTGTGTTTTTCTTCCCATACTAACACAAAATTTTGGTTACTACGGTGGGTCATTCCAAAAATGCACTACTGCAAGCAGCGCAAAGCCGTCCGATGCTAATACGACTCTGCATTTTTATACTGAGGGGAAAAAAAGATGAGACAGTATCTCAGGATCCTAAAAAAACTCGAAAGGGACATATTTTCTGCAACTTCGAAACTATCCGGATAGATGAAGGAAGAGATTGGTAAAAATTGTTCGGAGAAAAGAAAGCAAGAAATGTTGACAAACGCACGCCTCGATATTCCTTCCTCCGGGGAGAAGTACGATCCCGCTTGACTTTTGGAGGAAAACTGGCAACTCTGTCGACCAAAGTTTTCGTCACGCTGGGGTGCATGACTTCAAAACGAACTTTTTTCACATCGACTCGGCGGATGACTTTCCGCTCTTTCATAGACACGGCTCCTGAAAGTTTACACTTCCCTGTTATAAATTGGGGATCTTACTTACTTACTTACTCACTCTGGATTCAATTTCCTTCCTCGTCTATTTTGCTACTATCCTTCGATGTTAGGTCCTCGCTTTTCCGCTATTGAATAATTGAAAAACTTTCGCGAGGAGAGGGGGGAAAAAACAGAAATCAAGTTCGAGATATCTTTACGAGTTGCGTCTGCCTCGCCGAAAGATCTAATTATAATCGTGATCCTGATTCCGAACCATGACTTTCGATACCTGTTTTCGAAGAATTCTTCAGGAGCTTCATTTGCGGAGGGCAAGGGCACGGTGGCAAAGTTTCAGTAAAAATAAAATCTTGAAATTTCAGAAGTGCATGACAAATATTGAAAACAAATAAAAGTATACTTTTTCAGTACATTCATAAAAAATTCAGTACCTCCAAATTGACGAAATTCGAAAAACTTCAAGAATTTGAATTACTCGCTTAAATTGCGACAGAAAATTCCGGACCTTCTTGCAGAATTTCCGCACTTTTTCAGTACTTCCGGATCGCCCTTAAAAAATCCGTACTGTTTCCGAACTTTCCGAAAATTCCGGACTTGCAGATGCCCCGACCTAATAATAGAAAGTGATACAGGGCTGAGGAGTCTTACCTTTTGAGCTTTGCACATGGCGTTGATGGCCTGCACGTCGTGGCTATGATGCCGGGTATCATGAAGACAGCTCGCACACACTGGCACTTTGCACACTAAACAATACAACGAGAGGGCCTCGTCCTCGTGTTCCGCGCACTGAGACTCCTTCCACTTAGACTTAACGCGCATCACGGCCTTGCCGGCCCCCGGCTCGAGGAGGTTGTGCTTGGCCAGCGGGCCGCGCATGGGGTGGCAGCCCTCCCGGCAGGCGTCGCAGTAGAAGATTTCGCACTGCTCGCAGAGGACGGTGGCATCGGCGGCCGGGTCGCCCTCGCAGAGCTGACACTTAAGCGGCAGGCGCCGCGCCTCGCCGTACTTGTCGATGATGTTCTGCATGGCGCGGTACTTGGGGAGGTTGGCGACGCCGCCTTCGTCGAAGTAGACGAGCTTGGCGCACTGGGGGCATGGCAGACAGTACGAGGACGGGAACACGTGGAGGCTCGGCGTCCCGACGTACGAGTTCGGACGGGAGTTGCACACCACCCCCGAGTCAGTTTCCGACAGAATCGACAGCTTGTCCACCTGCAACAGAGAAAGGACATAGGAGTTAGCGTCAGAGAAAAAATACCCAAAATGTGGAAAGATCATAGAGTACATAGAGTCGTAATGTAAGTGGGAGAGCTGGAGCCATGTTCTGCTCGACGAGTTCCAAGCCCGGAGTGTGGGGTCACTTTTCCGATACATATTCGATCCGAAATGGCGGTGTGGAATATGGCCGGGTCCTCGTGTATCGCAAACAATCCATTATGTATCGAAAAAGGGACCCGGCGCCGCACAGGAATCTCGGAATTCGGGACCTGGAAAATGCTTAAAAGTGGCGCCAGCTCTCCCACTTGCATTACGACACTATGTGCTCTATGGGAAAGATAGAGTACATTACTGCCGTGCCAAGGAGGAGCGCCGTATGAACATCCGAGGGTTGCCAAATTTCCCTTGATAAAACGTGTATTTTTGAAAACATTCATGCATATTTTTCCTTGAAATTTTTAGATATTTTAAATCAAATTGCGTGCTAAATTATCGAAAACTTAGAGAAAAAATATCCCCAATTTTCCCGGTAAATCCGTTCTTTACTAAGGGAAATATGGTAACCTTTGAAGGCTCATACGGTGTTCTTCCTTAGCACGGCAGATTAGATACACAGCAAAATAAAAATAAAAATCAGCGGGCTCATGAGGAAAGAAAAATACAGCTTCGTTTAGTGTCGCGTGCGATGAATATTAAACGAATTTCATTATAACGTCTGGATGCAACTATTCGGGCTCCATAGATGTCCGTGTTGCATACCCACGGATCAGAAGGCGCTTGACTTCAAGGCGCCGACCGTCTCACCAGCGGTACTAAAGTGAGTCAATGAGAGAATTCGGGCAAAATTTGGAAATTGTAAGAGCTCATATCGATGTTGATATGGAACTTAAAAGGTTTAAAAGTGGTTTCATTTGATTTTCTCGTAAAATCTCCTTCAAGAAACACCTCAAAAGAATGTATGATGTAAACAAATTGACATAAAAATGTGAAACACCTGCGTCTTGCTGCGGGTGAATTGACGAGTGCCGTGACAGTCAAAACGCCTTCAATTCCGTGCGTACGCAACACGGACATCCGTTAAGTGCGAATAGTTGCATCCAAGAGTTAAAACGAAACTTTATAGTGTTCTTCGTATTAAACACTAACTGAGGGTGCTCCGCTTGTTTACACCGTAACATACGACACAAGTACCCTGATTTCTCCCGCTTAGAAAAATGCCAGGTTTATCAACGTCTAAATTAATGTTGTTTACATAGTCATTCTTTGGATTAACTTCATATGGGTATAAAGTGATCTCCGCCCAGAATTAGGTGAATACGTTCACTTGAGTGTTCCATTCACAAGAAGAAATTAATAACCATCAAATTTTTCGCGGATTTTAAGACTTTTTTTAAGTTCTGCCTGAGGCCAAATTACTCCGTGACAACTCCCGGTACTTCAGGCTTTTTATGTACACCACTTGACACCTTACTTTTTAAGAGGTCATTTTGGTTCCATGATGTCAGGCTTCGTCTCCACGGAGCGTTTTCACGAGAGGACAATAATTGACAAACTCGATGTTACTCGTAGTACAAAGTAAGGTCCTTAAACTGCCGTACTAAGGAAAAACGACGTATAAGCCTTCAGGCGTTGCCAAATTTCCTTCGATAACACACAAATTTCCAGGTAGCCATATGAATATTTTTCTTTCAATTTCTCTGACAATTTTACTCGCAATTCCATTGAAAAGTCCTGAAAATTTTAAGGAAAAACATCCATAACTTTTCTCAACACTGAACATTTTATCGAAGGAAACTTGGCAACTCTCGAATGTTCATAAGGCGTTCTTCCTTAGCATGACAGCATGGAGATACGAGGCCAGCTGAGAGAGACATGAGAGAATCCAAAGTGTGTGATGTGATGTTCACTTAATTTTCCGTTTTTGCTCAATTTAAATAACGTGTCTAAATGTTAATTGCATGTAGTTAGTATCCTAATTCCTAATTCCGCAAAAAAAAAAAAAAAATTGATTTTTACAAATCTAACTTCTCGCGAAACTCGTCTCAGAAACACGAGTGCTCCGTCCCGTGGGTCTACCTCCGAAATTCCCATAAGTTTCATTGCATTCCTGCGATGCAATCCCGAGACTCACCTCATAAAAACTTCCCAAGAAGACAAGGCCCTGAGAGTTGAATGCATTACGTGACATTGATCAGCAATGTTTTTCAATTCAGCAATTATTTTCAGTAATTATTTTTTACAGCGATCGCCTCGCGGATTCCATGACGCTTTCCCTCGATGCTAACACAATACCTCGTAGTATACCAGGCTGCTAGACACTCTGTTTCCCTTTTGATGCGAGTGCAAGAGTAAAATGCATTTCATACTTTGATGAAAAAAAGTCTCACGGATTCCATGACGCTTTCCTCCGACGCCAACACAACACCCTGATAATTCTCGTTAGTCGAGGTTGCAAGACACCCCGATTTCATTTCGGTGCAAGTGCAAGTGTGAAATGCATTTCTTGTTTTGATCAACAAATGTTTGACGCTTTCCTCCAATGCCCAAACAACACCCTGATATTTCTCGGTTGTCGAGGCTGCTATACACCCAGTTTTCCTTTTTGTGCAATTTCAAAAGAAAAATGCATTTTATGAGCTTTATCAACAATTTTTTCGCGGATTCCATGACGCGTTTCGACTTTCCCCCAATGCCCAAACACCACCCTGATAATCCTCAATAGTCGAGGTTGCTGTAGACACCCTGAGTTCCTTTTGTTGGTGCAAGTGCAATATTGAAATGCGTTTTATGAGCTTTATCATCATTCATCAAAAGTTTCACGGATTCCATGACGCTTTTCCTCAATGCCCCAACAACATCCGGATAATTATCAGTAGTCGAGGTTGCAAGACACCCCGATTTCATTTTGGTGCAAGTGCAAGAGTTAAATGCATTTCATACTTTGATCAACAAATGCGTCTCGCGGATTCCGTGACGCTTCCCCCAATGCCAAAACAATACAGGGTGATAATTCTCGGTAGTCGTCGTCCGACACCCTGTTTTCGTTTTTGAGCAATTGCAAGAGTGAAATACAACTTAAGAGCTTTATCAACAAATTTTTCGCGGATTCCACGAGTCCATGACGCTTTTCGGCTTTCCCCGAATGCACGAACAACACCTTGATAATTCTCGATAGTCGAGGTTGCCACACCATGTTTTCCTTTCGGTGCAAGTGCGGGAGTTAAATGCATTTCATACTTTGATCATTAAACGTCTCGCGGATTCCATGACGCTTCCCCCGATGCCAAAAAAACACCCGGATAATTCACGGTAGTCGTCGTCCGACACCCTGTTTTCGTTTTTGAGCAATTGCAAGAGTGGAATGCGATTTAAGAGCTTTATCAACAAATTTTTCGCGGATTTCATGACGCTTTTCGGCTTTCCCCGATGCCAAAACAACACAGGGAGATAATTTTCGATAGTAGAGGTTGCTAGACACCCTGTCCTCTTTTTGGTGCAAATGCAACTTATATAAGCTTTTTATCAACTAATGTTTCGCGAATTCTGTGACGCTTTCCCCCAAAGCCCCAACAACAGCCAGATAGTTCTCGGCAGTCGAGGTTGCTAGACACCTTGTTTTCATTTTGATGCAAGTGCAAGAGTTAAATGCATTCCATACTTTGATCAACAAATGTCTGGCGAATTCCATGATGCTTTCCCCCAATGCCCCAACAACACCCGGATAATTCTCGGTAGTCCAGGTGGCTAGACACCCCGTTTTCATTTGGGTGCATGTGCAAGAGTGAGATGCATTTCCCGCTTACCTCCTGAGTGGAGTCCGTGGACGACCCCGAGTTCTCCTCCTGGCTGATGGAGCCGGACCCCGATCCGGAGACGGGTTGCTGGAGGTGAACGGCGCAGTTGAGACACAGAGCGTGGTAGCACGGCAGAAGCACAGGGTTGTTGAAGAACTGTTTACAAACGTGACACTTGAGCTCGTCCTCCATCGCGACGACGCACACCCGAGCTCCACGGCACGCTCGCGAAGACTGCCGCAGGAGGGGACGAGGCACGAGGGGTGGCTTCCTGCGGGATTCCAGCGTCCCGGCTTCCCCCACCACCGGAGCTTCGCGCCCCTCCCCTCTTCGCCCGCCGCCCGCCGTCGCCAAGCGTCGTTGCCGTCTTCCTCCAATTATCCTTTACCTTCGCTCCGCAATTCTGCCGTGCTAAGGAAAAACGCCGTATGAACCTTCAGGCGTTGCCAAATTTCCTTCGATAAAACGCGAATTTTCTGGTAAACTTCTGAGTAATTTCCTCCCAATTTTTCAGATCATTTTGTTCGCAATTTTAACTAAAAATTCTGAACATTTGGAGGAAAAATATTTCATAACTTTCCTCAAAAATAAACATTTTATCGAAGGAAATTTGGCAACTCTCAAATGTTCATACGGCGCTTTTCCTTAGCACGGCAGTATTGTTAATAGTTTGTTACTGCCGTGCTATGGAAGAACACCGTATGAGTCTTCAGAGGTTCCCATATTTCCTTCATAAAGAACTTTACTGGGAAAATTTGAAATAATTTTCTTCAAATTATTCAAACAATTTTGTTTGCAATTTTATCCAAGATATCTAAAAATGGGTAGGAAAAATAAGAATAACCTTCCGCAAAAGTACATGTGTTATCTAAGGAAATTTGGCAACTCTCAAGTACATACGGTGTTTTTTCTTAGCAGAGTAGATATTTTGCAAGTTTTAAAATGTCTATTCCTACACAGTGGGGCATTGCTGTGCTAACGAAGATCGCCGCATGAAAATTCGAATTATAGTCTGTCCCGAATCTGTTNTTTTTTTTTTTTTTTTTTTTTTTCGTAGGTACAACAAGGTTTTGTAGGTTAAAATAACCCCGAGGGGATACTTCTGCCTTTTTCAGGTGCAGCCCCATCCTCAGCTACAGGCATTCATCATTAGAGGCCGCCAAACTCAGGTGGCCTGGCTGAGAATCGAACTCGGGACATCCTTCTTACAGAGCCAGCGCAGCGGTCCAACCACTACACCATAAAGCCGACACACCAAAAGAGGCCAATGGTTTATATAAAATTTATTGGTTTTTTTCTTGAAATTTTCTGACACTCTCGTTTAAATTCAAAATTCTCGGCAGAATCAGAAAGTGAAAAATTAAAAATTTCCCCAAAAATTCGTGATTTGTTAACGGAAATTCGGCAACGTCTGAGGGCTCATACGGCATTTTCCCTCATATAGCTTGGCAGAGTAAGTTCCTTGGGACAGGGTACGACTATTCTCTGATTGGTTCATTAGTTTCAGACTTGTCAGGACACACTCTAGGACCAATGTAAACTAAGGGGCTGATCATAGATTGTCACCCCTCTGACTTGAGGGCATACCTCAATTTCAAAGTGAGCCCCGTTTCATGTATGAATCCATACTTTCTGGAGCTAATGCGGAAATCAAGATAAGCCTTTACGTCAGAGGAGCCACGTCTCTGCCTGTCTGTCATCGGATCAACTATTTTGTTTTCCTTCTCTAATAATACCAGGGCTACAAGGCTTTAAGGAAAATTTACATATTCCATCCTGTTATCAATTCTGGATGGATATGTATGAATCTGCAACACCTGAGGCATGAAATCAGCCAATTTTAAGGTATGATCAGATCATCACAAGGAAGTCAACTTTGGCCGGCCCCTATAGACAAAACCTACTCAATGGATTAGACTCTGAATTAGACTGAGACCTTCAATGATCTTATTACGGGGCAAGAAGTATTTTACTTCTTAGCTGTGAAAACATTCTTTAAGGGTAAGGATAAACTAATGAGACGCTGATATTGAAAGACCTTGGAATAAGTAGAACACAACATGACATGTGAATCCCTGGTTATAAAGCAATAAATAGATAAATGAACCAAAACGGACGGTTTGAAGCTTCCTAGATTTTGAAAGCCTCGATAATTTCGAATAATACAGTGCTAGTGAAACTGCGAGAAGGAAAAAATAAACTATTACTGAGAACTTACAGATACTTTGAGAGCACACCGCACACCTAAGTAGAGGTGTGGACTTGGAGACTTGGAGGTAATATTCTTCGGAGGGATGTGGTTAAGAAAGGCAAATAACAACTGCTTCGAATGAATACAAAAAATCAAGAATCTCGAGTAACTTTTACTCCAAGAACTTACAGCACTCACGAGAAGCGAGAAGATGAAGAAAACCCACGTTTTGTTTGTTTACAACTAGTTTTCTAGGTTAGGCCTACGCGAATGTAAACAAGTCGAAACTTCACTCCCATTGGTTCCCGCCAATTTAGTGCCGCGCTCGGCAGAATATACAAATTGACCCGCCACTTTTCAAATTAGCGGGGACCCCCCTAATTGTGCACTCGGTCGAAATCGGCAAATTAAACGTTGCCGATGTTATGATTCGTAGACGGTCCAACTACTTACATCTTCGTTGGGCATTAGTACTCCATTGGTCGGCTTTTATTGAGGTGGCGCACATAGTAATGGGTAGAACTCGCTAATATGTGGTAAAGTCAACTTGAATAATGAATATACAGGGTGTTTCAGAATACTTCAGACCAATCGTACCATGCTTTTTTCTCGGTTGTTTAGGTCGTCCGAGGTCAGGGACTTCGGGGTTAAAGAGGGAATTGACCCCCAAGGAATCCGAATTTCATGGTGCTATCCCTCCTCTCTCAACCACNGGGGGGGGGGGGGGGGGGGGGGGGCGTCATGATTTTAAAAATCGGGGTTCCCAACCAAATTGCGATTCAATTGCATCAGACTTGAAAAGTAGGAACAATTTTATCAAGTACTGACGCCTAAAAATCCAAAGTCGGCAAACCCTGAGCCCAAAAATGACCCCCTATACATTTCTCTTTGGTTGCAAAGTTAATGATGATTTTACGGAAAAATTGGTGCCCTGGGTAATCGATCAGAAGGAACGATAATTTTAGATGCAGCTCTCATCCTAAACTTGGCAGACTTGGAACCAGAATAATGGCAACTATGGGTGGGAGGGGGGTTTTGTTAACCAATGACGCACCAGGGGGAAAAAAATTTACATTTTGCAATATACGAAAATATTCGGGCCGTGTCCATTATTTATATTTCGTTTGCAATAAATTTTGGAGCCGTTCAGTAATGTGAGCGCGGCTTGGAGGCTGTGCTAGTTGCATTTTGGTCACATTCTTTCGGGTTAATCAGAGTAATAGTGGATTATAGTTTGCTTTCGCACAGTGTTTCTTTCTCATTCCGACCGTTTCGCCTTCAATAATTTGATAGGCAATGTGAGCGGCTTGGGAACAGTATTGGTTGCCTACAGCAGTTTCGCCACGTTCTTCCGGTTCAGTCACAATAAAATGGAATAACATTCATTCAGTCTCGGTGCTTCTTCACACTCATATGACCAATTAGCCTTCAACATCTAGATGGGCGATGTGACAATTGTTGTAGTTTGTAATTCTGAGTTGTAATTTCTTGTTTTGATTACAATCGTAGTTATATTTATCATCGTTGTCTCTGTCATTATTTTAGCTGTGGGTAGTTGTATTTGCTTTTGAAATAAGGGAAATTTCAAATGATGTGCGATATTGTGAGAGGTAACTTGATGTATCCCACGTACTTTTTAGCATTGAGTTTGGGAAATATGACCAGACGATTCGCAAGAAAATTGGAATTTTATCTCCAAAATCAGTTTTGCATATGAATCAATCAAAATATTACACAAACCAAATAACCACGCCTGTGTCTGTGGCACTCATGATGCGACAGTTCTTAAAATTGCAGGCGGCACAAAAATTTTGACGACACTCTTTTCTAGCTGCTCTTAACTTGGGTGGCTTTTAGTTATAATGCTACAACAAACTGTATAAGGTGTTTGAAAAACATCTTACATGCTTTATTCGTTTGGTGAGCAGCGGGCGAGTATTCTGGCATGCTAAGGAAGAACGCCGTGAAAACTTTCAGACATTATGCCAAATTTCCTGTGAAAAAAGTGCGGATTTTCCAGGAAATTCGTGGCTATTTTTCTTTTACTTTTTTAATGAATTTTCTTCTCAAATCGATCTGATAAATCTGCAAATTATACTCACAACATCCTTAAAAATACACGTTTTATCGGGGGGAGATTTGGCAACATTCAAATGTTCATACGACGTTTTTGTTGACAACAATACCAAAATATCAGCTGATCATTAAACAAGCTATGCTTCTTTTCCCCTCATATGTGTACCCAATTCAGTTGTTCGGTGGATCTCCGATTGTACACACCTAATGAGTATTTTATTGTTGTTTCTGTGGAACAGTGTTGTTCTCTGTTCGTTGTGAACTTTCTTCATACAGTGTGATATATGTTCACCAAAAATTCCACAAATGACAAAGCTCTCATAAAATGGTTAGTTTCTTCCTAAAAATTCAACATGGAGGCAATGATAGTTCCATGCGACTGAACACCACGCTCCTATCTATCTAATTTAAATGTATTATCTTTTTCTTCGCAATGAGGGTGGATGTCCATTACCTGTACATCTTTGTGCCGCCTTATTTTATGTGCTATAGCTTCGCTGTGAAGTAATTGGGGCGGGATGAAGACCATGCTTTACTTAGTAACTCGAGAACAAAGTGACGTCACAATATACTTTATCCATCGGCCAAACGATCACACCTTTTGACTAGCATCATAGGAGGCATATGCCCGCATTAGACTTATCTATGCCCTTACTCTACTGTTTACTTTCATCCTACTCAGCCACTTATCAGTTGTGCATTGCCATCGTTAGCTCTTTCACTTTTTGAGTCTCTCCATTCGGTCGTGTGTTTTAAGTTCTGATGTTTTTCAATTCATCCACTGAATATTTTAGTTTCGTGCGCACGACTATTGCAAATTTTAGACGCTAATGATGGTATCGTGATACCATAAAATCTGCCTGGTATGTACCAAGAATACGCATACTAATATGTATTGCAATGACAAGTTAATTGTGCATGATGAAGTCGTCACATTTTTGTACTTGATATTTTCCATTGAGGTTTACTGAGTGAAGCGGGAGCATTTTTAACTGACGTGATTGCCGTTGTCAGGCGTTAACCTTACAACATTAGTGGTGAAAAGGATGAAATGCGTTAAAAAAACAAGTAAGAATATCATCAAAGAGATATTAATCAAATGTAAACAGGATTATTAAGTTACAATACGCGCTAGGAAAAGGAAATCGGAACGAGCACTTGTGACTGAGAGGAGAAAGAATGTATCGATACGCAGATAATAAAAACCAATGTGAGCATAAGTATTCTGATGTTTTGGGATATTAATTACTTTTCATCTCGTGCTTCTGCATCTAGGAGAATAATTTTCTCCAGTCATTATTGCTCTGCATTCTCATGCTCTCTAGCTTTTTATCGATTGCCTATGGAAAATCATATAAGATACTAAAATATTTTACAATATACCAAAGAAAAATAAGGTACTAAAATACTTTGCATTATCATATCATATTTTATACTACAAAAACCACAAAGAGTAACGCGTAACGCATAGCGCCTCGGGTGTTGGAACGCGAAGCCGTCAGGGGCTGGCTCCGAAGGGGGTGGGGGGGGGATTGGTGGTGGTCTTGTGGCAAATACACATGAAATGAATGTGTTTTTTGAATACCTTTGTATGATGTGTCACTGCCCGTCTCAGATAATTTTGCCTTTTTAGCTGGGTGCGAGGGATAGGGAATCCTTATCCCGAGCCCTAACGTTATCTGATACGGGCATTCATGTGGGGTAAAAGGCCTCCAGCAATGCCATCTAACTCATTGAAACGGTACATGAATGATGCATGATCTCTTATTCTTGTGCTGTCGCTCATAAGCGTTTGCTGAGGAGAAACTTGGGAGTACCTGAATGAATTGAACAGATCTCGTAAGAAAACGCACAAGTAAGTGCCTTCATTTTGCGAAGTATACTACAAAAATGCGAAGCAGATATTCCTCTCAAGAAACGTTCTGCGTCGTGCATTCGCGCGCCCACTCGCACTCTCCTTCTAAGCAGAAAATTATGACATATTTTAATTCTTTTAACTTTAAAATGAAACCTTTAATCCACATAATACTTAAAAAACTGCCAGGCAGATCAGTGACTCTGGCATTGAAAGTTGAGAAAATGGACCTAGCTGGTTTCCGAGCGAAAAATTATTGAAGAACGTCTCCAGTTACTAAAACATTTTCTATAGCGATCCAGAGGATTTTTTGTGATTTTTCGGGTGATTACAAATCAACAAAATTTTCCTTTTGACTATGAAAAGGCACTTACTTGTTTCACACACTATAAAGAATCATTGAAACCATAAAGACACGAGTTTTTTTACCAGCGCAGCTGACCCATTTGTCTTTAAAATTTTGGCATGATATAGTTCCTCTAATCGCGCATATTAATAATTACAAATTGTTGTCTCCCGCGGGCGAAAGATGTAACTCCATTCAAAGGCCGCAAAATTGACTCAAACAATTCAACTTTTTCAAGAATGTACCGGCACAAAATTGTTGAAAATTCGTCTGATTTTTGTAAGAGATCGTAAGGAAAATCAGTGAAATTTTCAATTCTGAATTTTCAAAGTTCCCTCGGTTAAAGTGCAATCCACGCGAGGAAAGGCAACATTAAAATGGAGTTATCACCGAAAGAAAGGATCCTGATTTGACATTTTGGATGTAAAAAAGTGAGCGACAACTCACAAAGCGCTAGCTAAATGGACCGCTACAGCAGTTACTTTAGCAAAACTAACTGCTGCGGCGGTTAATTCAGCGTTTTGTGAGTTGCCGCACACTTTTTAACATCCAGAATGTTAAATCAGCGTCCTTTTTTTCAGGTGTACAGTGTACACTCTTTCGTGAGACAAACGACGAAATAAAATGACATTCAGTCAATGACTATTTTCCCTTCACAATCCTGCTTACTTCGCTCTTTCTTGGAGAGGTAGTATGCACGCATAGGCGGATCAGAGGAGATGGGCGTAAGAGGCGTGCGCCCCCTCCCCCCTTACCCCATTCGCTTATAAAAAAAAAAAAAAAAAAAAAAAAAAAAAAAACATGGAGGAAGAAACAGGGAAGAAACGGAGAGAAGAAGAAGGTAAAAATCGTATATTTTGCGATTAATCATCACGAAATAGACTCAAACTGCATGCATATTGGATTCTATAATATTTCGAAAATTTTCTGGAGGTAGCCCCTGGGCCCCCCATCCGCCCCCCGCAGCGTCTGAATCCGCGTATGTGTACAGGTACTTCATGCGCCACCCACCAGCCAAAAAGCGGCACTCGTAACACTTAATTGGCCATACTCTCCCAATATAGTTACTCCATACAGACTCACTTGGCGCCGGCGCAGCTCGTCAAAAAAATCTAATTTTCCGCGGATACCGCCGCATCGAATCCTCGTCTCCGAACGCAGGGCAACGCCGCGCAGTTATTTTTACCGCGCCGCACCGACCTGTTGATCTCGCGGGGGGGATTCACCATTCCGCACCACGATCCTAAGCAGGAACCGCGCAACTCCCCGTGACAAACACTATTCAGATAGGCGCTTTTCACCTCATTGACCGGTCTGGATCTCGGCGACTTTCCTCATTGGACCAGGCATCTCCCAAACCGAACCTCCGTTCCCGCTTCACCGAGCAGCATCGATCCCGATCCTGACGTAAGAGCGTAACTCGTTTCCCCCTTGAGCCCTGTTTCACGTATGAATCCATCCTTTCGAGGGATCATGCGGATATTGGATTACGTCCTTACGTCGAAGTGCAACGAGATGACGTTTATTGCGCCGTCTGGTTTTTGGTAGGCAGTTTTTCATTCGCATTCTGTGTGTATACGCGCACTCTTGTTCTAGTCAGTCGATGATGAGTGCCGGTGAATAGTTTACTTATTTAGGTCGGAAATGTGACGTTCTGGGTTTCGAGACTCCATCATGTGACACGATTTCGGCGAACAGTCGTTAAGCGCCGGGCGATTGTTACGTGTTGTTTGTCTCATGTCTCAGGCACGCTGCTCATAGTTTAAGAGATTGGAGTGTTGCACCTGCAGGCAAAGTATCGTTGGTTTGTGAACTTTCATGTCAACATTTATAGATTTTTGTTGTTTTGATTCGTGCGCTTCCGTGTAAGTTTAAGTTTTTACCGCGATTGCTTAAAACTTCCAGAGGTGTCGTAAAGTACCGGGCTATTGTTATGTGTTGTCTGATTCTGGCTCGTTGCTCTTGGTAAAGGAAGTCAGTACGGTATTGTGCCAAAGTGCCTATCCGCATTGTAAAAATCAAGCCACTTCATTTATTCTTTTCTCGGGGTAAACTGGATGGATTTTCAATTTTATTTTCGCTTAATTCCTTAAAAACGACTTCTCTCTTTCAACATGTACCGCCTACTCAGTTTGATTCATTGAAAAATTGAATTTTAATAGATTTTTCAGTATTACATTTTTTTCTTCCAATTTTTAAATATTAAAATAATTAGAGAAATCAACTGAAATTCGAATTTTCTATTGATAAAAAAGATCACATGTCAAAGGAAAGAAGACATTCTAAGGGACAAAAAAGTTGAAAATCCATCCAGTAGATACTGGAAAAAAGTTACTTGTTTTTTACATTACGGGGATAAGCATGAAAAAAAAAACAAAAAAAAAAACAACTGACTCCCCTTAGAAAATTTGTATCTTGCGTCTGCTCAGCAGAATATCGTAAATTTTTCAACTTCCATATCAGTGTTTGTAGATTTTTGCCTCTTATTCCTACATTTTCATGTAATTTACCCTCCCTTCCAGAGACTTCCACTTAACCGGAATTATCCAATTATAATTATTTCAAGTTATCCAATTAATATTAATTATATTTCTATTTTCTTTTTATTTATTTTTTTACAGAAAATATGCAGCGTAATACCTTGGAGCTGTCCGTAAATTTCCCTACGTATGATGATGAATGTAATCATAAAATTTCAAGGCAGAATGTCGTTTAAGTTTTAGTAAAAAAAATAAAGCAAAAAAGAAATTTGGCAACGTCCGACGCAAGTAGTTTATTCTGCCTAAATCCGTCCATATGCAGTTGATTTGCGAATAGCGTTATTCTATACATTGAATTTGCACGTTTGACAAAGGGTCATTTTGTCGGGATTACTAAGTTTTGTTTACCTGTCATTCTCTCTCTCTGTATTGCAACTTGATCATGAACTCATTGAGTGCTACATATTGATTATTCCGACACTTTAAACGCTTCCTTTTGAAAATAAAGAGGTCAAGTTGCCTCGCTGGTAGACGAAAACATAAACATGGAGCGTTAAAGGTCTGCGGAAAAATGACGTCGCAGTATGCGTTTGAAAAGGCGAGAAAGTACTGAAAGAACCTTGTGGGTGGGTGATAATGGTCCTCGCGTTTTTTGCGTAAATGCACAACACTATTCGGGCGCCTGATGTGTAATATAGTTTGGAACACAATGTGCAGATATTATTATGAAACTTTTACAATTGATAAATTTTAGATAATTTTTCGAAAAGTTTTCTCGAGGCAGTTTTTGCATTCTTCAATCTTGTCTGAGGATTTCGTCGGAAGAATTCATCGAGTTATCTTTAAAAAGGCTCAATGTGGATAGTGTCGCACAGTTGATTAGTTACGTCGATTTATGATCTATGTTCTTCATAGATCATAAAAAAACTCCAACATACCGTCTTATGACCCGTGCGTTCACCGCAATTAGTTTTTATATGTTCTTCATGGTTTATTTTTAATTTCCTTTTTTTCTTCACAGGTTCGTTCGCATTTGAAAAGGACTCATCATTCATTGGTGATGGGATGCAAAAATTACCACATCGTTGTTATCATGAGCCATTATTCACAAAACATGACAGTTACATCCAGATTTCGGCGGCTGACCAGAATTCTTCCAAGTGAGTTTATTATTTTGATGAAAATGTGACCATTTGCGGAACCGTGGGAGCTTAACTTATGTCGCTTTTCTAGGAAGTAGCGTCCATGGCTATGAAGATTTTAAAATCCGATTAGTGTGCTGTGTTGGAGCTTCTGATGGAGATCGTTAACACAACAGCGCCTGATTTTACTACTGTATGCAACACGCGCAATCACTAAGCACGTTTAGTTGTATCAAGGCGCTACAATCAATGCCGCGTCTGTTGTTCATGAGAGAAAATGAATTCTCTTTCTCCTTTTATTGAAAAAAAAAGGCTTTGACGTAGAAAAGTTGAAGAACTCGATCCATTTTTCAGCTGAAGGAAGAAATATTATAGAAAATTCTGATTTAGTGATTTAAATATTTCAGCACAGAGAAAAGTTCGAGCAAAACTGCGGGTTCTTGGTTTCCATTGCTCTGTCATAGCCATAGCCTTCCTCGTCAGGGTGTTTCTTTAGGTTTACGAAACTTATAAACAGGAATATTTTTCATCGAGCACAAAAATTCGACTCATATTCGTGCTGAAAATCTCTCAACCCTGATGTCATTTTTTTCCAGTTTTTTCGGGTTCCGGAATCGATCATCCCCTGACGAATGAATAACGCAGCGCCATCCTCAAAGTATGTCCTTGAGAGCGAAATTCCGCCCTCTAAGCAGAAGATGGCCACGAAAGCTCATTTTACTCCTCATCGCAGCCCTTTGCGGAGTTGGAATACTCTTCAACATCCGAACCCTCATTTATTTCTTCCGGCCTTTGTGGGACAAGCCCGATGCTCCGTTTGAGCGCCTGGTCCACTACTATGCTGAGAACGTCTCCATGGAGCACCTGTGCCGTCTTCACGGTTAGTTCACGTTTCTTAACTTCATCAGTGGCGAGGCGTGTATGATCGATTATCGATATTTCTCCATTTGAAGCTATGTCAAAGAATCGATTATGGAGGTGTTCGTTGCGAACACCCTGTATTGATCCTTTTTCATAGATTTAAATGTCAGATCAATCAATACATCGCAAAGTACGTTACGCCACTGTTCGGTTTACATTGTGTTTACGATCAGTCGACCGTAGGTCTCTATCCCCTAACACGTAAAAAAAAATGGCGTGCGTATAACGCTCTCTTCGACTCCCCCCCCCCCAAAGCGTTACATAATTTAGGGACGGTCCCCAAGATTGAGGATAATCGCTCGGTTGTTATTGATCCCAACGATACTATGTATCGCCAAAAATTCGCAAACAAATCTCAACTTAATTTTAAAAAATCGCAATCTCTCAGTTGAAAAATGCTACTGCGGACCGATTATTGAAGTCGATAGACAAAGCTATAGAATAAGAAGACAAGAGGTATGTATGGAGAGATCCTATTGGTGGAAGAATGTGGTTGCAATGGACTAACGGCAACCCACAAGTGAGCCAATAGTTAGTCCATCATTTTCTCTCTTAAACCACAGGAGCCACCCATTTCAATCAATAGGATTGTTCCTTACTCCCTTTATCTTCTTTGTCTATTGCTTTGTCTATCAATTTCAATAATCAGCCCGCAGGGGTCAATATGGCTGTTATTCTCGTGTCTTGTTTTTCATAAAGGTTGGTCCTTGCGTCCGAAGCCGCGACGGACATTCGATGCGGTGATCTTCAGCAACGAACTGGACATGCTGGACATCCGTTGGCACGAGCTCTACCCGCACGTCACCAAGTTCGTCATCCTCGAGTCCAACACCACCTTCACCGGGATCCCCAAGCCCCTGTTTTTCGATGAGAATCGAGCCCGCTTCGCTTTTGCCGAAGACAAGATCGCCCACAGCGTGTTCCCTGGACGGGTCGCCAAACCTCCGTCCCTCTACTCGAGGGTCGTTGGGATCCCGGATGAGAACCCTTTTACTTTGGAGTCGGATACACGGGACGCTATGAATGACTTACTCGAAAGTGCAGGTATGTCCCTCTCTTGAGTTAACTTGTTATATCGTTCGAAAAGAACAAGAATATGGTAAAACTCACAATCAGATGAAGTATGCAGAAAAATCGCCCGTAATTTTGCGGTTATGCAACAAATTCTTCGCCAATCGAAGTTATAGGCAAAGCACAAATGAACCGCGTTTAGCAAAAAGGAATCAAGCCTAATCAGCTTCTGCCAGATTTGACGAGGCAATTTAATTTTTTACAAGAGAACGTTTGTGCTGATTCATTCATTCATTAGACATTTTTCAGGAATTTACCTCGTACTTGGTAGAAAATTTGCACAAAACCGCAACAACCGTCTTCATGTAACAAATTGAATTGTCCAAATTTTGGCAATAGCTGATATGGCATGGTTCATTTCTGCTTAACGCGGTCCAAATCTGCACCGTTCAATATCTGAAAATTTGTTTAAGGACACAATTGTTTGCGTAACTCCGAGTGATTAGCACAGATTTCCCCAAAATTATATACTAACCTTTTTCCCTTTGCAACATTGCCACATTCGCAACTGTAAAGAGTCGCATTCATTGCAAATCCCATTTTATACCCACCGAAGTTGCAAGCAAAGAACAAACGTGTGCACCCAAAGATCTAAAAATCTCTGGTGTGGTTCAAAATGAGGCAATTTTTAAATAATAAAGCCTCCATGCGTCAAGCAATTCGCAATTGTCGGTGCGCCAACTTTTCTGCCCTGCGTCAAAGTCTCTGAAGGGATTACTGTATTCTGCCGTCTTGGCAGTCTCTCTTGCGGTTCAGATATAGATCAAATTTTTAAGGTACGGAGTCTTAGGAGTGTTTTTCTGCAGCATCTCACGTCAGCTCAAGAGTTCCTGGTGTTTATATTATCTGGTCAACGAGAGCTTCTGTATTATCATGATGGTTTGGAAAATCATACATCAATGACCACGTTTTTTCGTTTGGGACGATGTCAACTTCCAGTCATATTTGATTTTTTCCTTGGAAAATATTCAACGTAATTCTTTAAAAACTCCATTGCTTTTTTTTTGCTGAAGAGGAGTAGAGTATTTTTTCCGTATAAATTCCAAGCCATAAAGTTGACTTGTTGGAAAACATAAAGTGGGAGCGGAGCTTTTGAAACACCGCGATGAAGTAATGGGGTATTGCACTTTAGCCATCGATATGTCATTCAAGAGGTCAATAACGGCGGCTCAGATACACCGTCATGAACTCTCAGTAGTAGAAGAAGAGATTCTCAATTTCTGGAATAGCTTCTCAGATTATCCTTAAAATTTGTCATTCCCTGCGGGCCGATTTTTGAAATTAATAGACAAAGCGATTGACAAAGAAGACATAAGGAGTGTGGAGCAATCCTGTTGCATGGTTAAAATGGGTGGGTTTCATAGACACCCGCCTTCACCAACAGGATCCACCATTTAATTATTGTCTCTCTTGTCCATGGCTTCGTCTATAAAATTCAACAATCAGCCCGCCGATAAATCCCAGTTTTCCCGGTCCTAGACACCATTAACTGATCCATTATCCGGCATTTTCTATATCTTAAAGACTAATTTTCATTTTCAAGGTATATCCGAGGGCGACCTTCTGATCATGTCCGACGTGGACGAGATCCCCAGCTCGCACACGGTGCAACTCCTCCAATGGTGCGACGGCGCCCCCTCGACCCTGCACCTCCAACTGCGGCACTTCATGTACTCCTTCGAGTTCCCCGTCGACCTGAGCAGTTGGCGGGCCACCGTCCACGTCTACGACTCGGCCACCCGCTACCGGCACACGCGCCAGGCCGACGTCATCCTGGCCGACGCCGGCTGGCACTGCAGCTTCTGCTTCCGGCGCCTCGCCGACTTCGTGCTCAAGATGACCGGCTACAGCCACGCGGACCGCGTTCGCCGTAGCCACTTCCTGGACCACGCCAGGATCCAGAGGATCATCTGCCGCGGCGACGACCTCTTCGACATGCTCCCGGAGGAGTACTCGTACAGGGAGCTCATCGGGAAGATGGGGCCCATCCCCCGGTCGGCGTCCGCGGTTTACCTGCCGGGGTATTTGCTCGAGAATGCCCGGAGGTTTAGGTTTCTCCTCCCTGGTGGCTGCTTGAGGGAAGAGGAACCAGGTGTCTGATCACCGGGAATCCAGGAGCTTGACCTGTCTCCACGTTTCGCTTACGAAAGGACGTAACTATACTTCAAAGTTGCAAAATCATAGGCGGATCTGGAGGGGGGGGGACGAAAAAAAGGATGACGAAAAAGAGAAGGAAGAAAAAAGGAGGGAACGGAGGTAAGAAGAGGAAAAGGCACTTACATTGGGCAATTATTCATGACGAAATCGGCTCAACTGTAGATGATGCTTCAAAAATTCGCGAATTCTCTTGAAAGGGTCCCCGAACCCCCCTACGCCTTCCTCCCCCGTTTGAGGTGTGTGGGTCCGGCGGTCCGGTCATGTGCCAAATTTACCCTAGCAAATTTCGTTGTTACCTGGAGAATCTTAGGAGTCTCGAACTGAAAATTTCACCGGTCTTTCCTCTGATCTCATACAAAAATCAGACAGATTTTCAACGAAAATTGCGCTGGTACATTTTGACGGACGAAGTGCAAAACCACGTGCCTCCGTTTGCAACAGTGCAGACTTCCTGTGATACTTCATTCTTTCTTTGGAAAGATAGTTAACTTCTCTTTTGTGAGAATTCTGAAAAAATTTCGAGCTTTAGATCTACTTAGTTCCTTTTTTTCGAAAAATAAAACGAAAGCGCGATTTAAAAAAAAAAAAAAACCAAAATACATATACGTGATTTTGCACTTTGGCCATGGATTCTTGTAAATATGTCATTGTTTCAGACAGTTTTGTAACCTTGAAATGGAGTTACGTTCTTTCGTCTGAGAAACGTTAGTTTATGCATAAAACCCCCAAGAAGCATAGATTGCAATAAGTTACATCGCATACAATATGAAGAAATCCGGCGCCGGCTAAATTTAGAGATTCTTTGATATGATGTTTCATACGACCTCCTCAGCACGATGAGTTTTCAAAATCGAACTTCTATGTGCCCATCTCAAAAAAATCGGGTCTGAAAATGTGCATCTTTCGGCAATTTACCACGTCATTATACAAAAAACTAAGAATTAAGACCGTCGTCGAGTCAAAGATGAGAAGCCCTCTGTTCTGGACTGAGTATTGTCCTGCTGTTTTGTCTTATCGGCCGGCGCGAGGTTTGGGAAGAAGAGCTTGCTGCTGGATCGCATACATTTCCCCCTTCATAATGCACGTAAAACTGCCGGGAAATGTAATTTTCTAACAAGATTGGATAAAAGAGGGTTTGATTTTGAAAGCTCACCTTACTCAGGAAATCGTAAGGAACATCTTATGAAAAAATCTTGAAATTGAACCAGAGCCGAAATTCTTAGTATCGAGTGCGGTGCACATCCCAAGTAGCAGTGATCGAGAAAAATAGATATTTTATCGGTTGATTATCGCGATTATATTGGTGGCAATTTATCGCGATAATATTGGTGGCAATTTATCGCGATAATATCGAATAAAAAATTGAGATTGGTGGCGATTAAATCGCTATGCATCGAAATTTTTTGTTCGACAAAATTGCGATCAATTTTCGTCGATAAAATCGACATTAAATCGCCATGTATCGCGAGTTTCGTTTCAATAATACCGCGATAAATTGCCGGGCGATAAAATCGCGATTTTATTGTGGATGCAGTGGAATGTTGTGAATTTTGCCTATCGTCTAATAAAGAGGCTCCTTTAAGTAGAATTTATTGAAATAAGTACAATGGAAATACTTGTAAGTCGCAATTCCTCTTTGCACTGCAAATTGCCTATCTATCTGATACAGCGAACTCACTTAATTTATCGTGTAAAATAAGCGTTTATTGACTGAACCATATAACAAATTGCAAAATAATTTCAATATTTTCGTCGCATTGTGCTACGTACTTTAAAAGTCTAAGGCATAGCCGTAACTATGTAAAAATTATACGCAGGATAATCGTGTCGATTTCTGTGATTGCCGATCAGGGATTTTAGTGTTTGAATTACGCATACATTACAATATCTTGTTCATAATTGTGATACTTTCGAAAGTTTCTTCTGTAAATACTATGTATATTATCTTGTTCAGGAAAATTTTGTACAAAACGGTTATGTAAGGAGATAATTTATGAATTTATTATTTTTTTTGCGTAAATATTACGGTTATTTATTGGATTACCTACCTGCAATTAATTCGTTACCATTGGAGGAAAACATGTAGGGTACTGTCTAATAGGATAAATGTGATTTTTTCTTCTTTTTTTTTTCTCTTTTTTTTCTATAGAAATCTAGGCTAAGAGCGAGTGTTTTTGCGTTCAAATTTAAAAAATAAAATAATAATAAGAACATGAGAGAAAATACAAATGAAACAAAATGTGTTTATTAAAATTAATGGTGAGAAAAATACAGCTATCTTAGAACTAAAAAAAAAACCCAAAAAACGAAAGAAATTAAATCATAATGTTTAAAGATTGAGGAAATGTAAGATTCCGCAGAGATCCACTGACTTAAAGGTAAGGCATACCTTAAGGCTAGGCTTAAAGGTAAAGCGTAAAGGTAGGTACCATCCTGCGGACTTAGCTTAGAAATATTGAATTCTCACAAATTAAGTAAGTAGCATCCTTAGGTGTAGTAACAGAAGCACTGAGATATCATTCAGTATTTAATAGTGCGCTTTTCGCATGTTGATTCTGAAAACCTTCCTCCTGTAATACAGTTAGACTGGAGCAGAGCTCTGAGTTCATTGCTTTCAAACGCAACTAATAGTCAGGCTTTCAAGTGATTCCTCCCAGGAAATAAACAAACATCGATACGTCGAACAAATTTGGCTAAAACACGAATTATTTTACTTTTCACTCTTTGTAAAAACAGAGATGCATCAGTGTAGAAGCATATTTTAGCAGTCTATTGGCGAAGAATCTCTTCCAAAAACCCTAAATTAAAGTCAAATGAGACTTGACGTGAAAATTCCAGTTCGATTTGACTAGTCAAATGCGAAATTTCACGTTTACTTTTACTTGACTTTAACTAAGGGTTTTCGGAATAGAGATTTTTCACCAATATACTGCTGAAGTATGCCTCTACACTGTTGCATCTCTGTTTTTACAAAAAGTGAGATGAGAGAGAGGCAAAAAATCGTATTTTAGCAAAAATTTTTCGATTTATAGATGTTTGTTTAAAGCACCTTAAAGAGAAAGGATGCTGCTTCAAACAAGGTGTCTACAAAGAATGGGATCTTGCTGCTGGCAAAATTTTCTGCTGAATGGTCAGAAATGTGTATGGCTCTAAAAGAATGCACTCGTAAATGCCATCGAGGGAATTTTCAAAAACCAAATGAAGGATTCGGGAACAAAGGGTAGTCCTCATAACAACTTTAAAAAGAAAATAAATTTACTTCACAGGATTAAAATACTTTAAAGTACCAACAGAACTTCTTTTAGAGGACACACCAGGGATTTCTCTACTATCAAACCGGTGAGAGGGAGGTTTTTTACATTGGCCGAAGAATTTGAATTTTGTGTATTAAAAAGAAAATACCCTCCATTCTTGTAGAATACACGAGAAATCCAATAAAATAGTCTGCCTTTGGGCGACAAACCTTGAAATATTTGTAAGATAAGCTAAATAAAGAGATATTGTGTCATGACAGACACCTGCTTTGACTAGCTTGTTTTCAGCGAGTCATGGTCCGGTTCGTAATTAGGATGAGCGGATCTCTTATGGTACGACAGATACTTCTTGTGCTTGTAAGCACGACCGCACAGATCACAGACGCACGGCCTTAAATTAGTGTGCACAGTTTCGTGCTTCTTCAGGTCCCCACTTCTCCTGAAGGCTTTCGGACAAATGGAGCAAGGATACGGTTTGGCTCCCGTGTGGATCCCCATGTGAGTCTCAAGCCTCCCTCTCGTCCGGGCTTTGGCATCACAACCGGGCCAATCACACGAGAAGGGAAAGTAGTCCGTGTGCGACTGCTTATGCTTGTACAGACAGGTCGCGTTCGGAAAAGTTTTGGAGCATACCTTGCAAACCCACGGTCTTTCACCTGTATGTCGACGTCGATGATCTGAAAGGGTACGCCTCGACCCAAAAGCCAGGCCGCAGAAGTCACACTTGTGATCGCGAGCCTTCATATGAACCACTCTGATGTGGCGACGAAGAAGCGGGTCGCGAGTGGTCTGGAACCCACACTCGTGGCAGACGAAACTCTTGGGCTGGTCGTGGAGCACTAAATGACGGATGAACTCCTCTTCTTTCTCGTGGACCCTCGGGCACGAGGGGCACTGCCAATTGGTCTCACCGTTGATCACGACACGACACTCCACGAGCTTGTCTTGGTGTTTGGCCCAGTGCTCCGGGAGGACATGCCGCTCTCTGTGACCCAACATGTTGCCGCGCGTCGAAAAGACTTTGCCGCATAGATCGCACATCAGGCTCTGGTCCGCGTTGACCCTTTTGAGGCTACTTTCCGTTTTGATCGCTAATTTTTTGTACCGCCTCGTGAGATGGTTACTCTTGTAGTGTTCCGCCAGTTGGATTTCAGTATCGAACGACTCGGAGCACGACTGACATAGCAGCCTGTGAAAACTCGAAAAGTTTTCTTTCTTCACACCGTGCTCTGCCTTGAGATGCTCGCATATCTTTTCCAGGGAGCCCTGCTCGATCCAACAGACTGTGCAAACGTACTTTTTGACTACTGCTTTCCTTTTCGAAACGAAGACGATCTTGTCCGGATGGTTGTCTTTAAGATGGTCCCTGAGAGAATCGGGGGACTCGCAGATGATGCCGCAGAGTTCGCATAGACAGGAGCGTTTCTGCAGGCAGTCTAGCACAGTCCGCTTGGCGAAAAGGTGGTGGATTTTATTGTGTTGACGGAAAGTGGTCTTGTCGTAGAATACTTTCTCGCAAAGGTCGCAAAGGTACTTCGCGGCAAGTTTCTGATACCTGTTATCTTGATCCTGGAGGGCGGTCGGATGCATGCGTTTCAGATGGGAGCGATGCCCCTCGTTACAGGTGAATTGGAGACTGCACGGAACGCAGAACCAAGATTTCGATACCTCCTGCAAAAATCCACTATTGTCCTTGAGTAAATCATAATGCTCGCGGGCCTGATGGTCGAAGAGTTGATCTTTGTCGGGCGTGAAGAAGTAGCAGAGCGAGCAGACCCATTCTCCATTGCCCAGATCGAAGTAGGGTTTCTCCGGCAATTCTGAAGTTGTTGGGGGAGTGGCTTCGACCATTTCAAATGTTTGGCTGGTATCGGAGGATATGGGCACCAGAGGGGGTAGTTTCTGCGGTAGGGGAGAAACAATTTTCAGCTGCATACTTTGTTGGGTAGGAACTATTTTCAGCGGCACAGTTTGTTGCGTGGAAGCTATGTTCAGCGGCACAATACGAATTTTCGGATTTAGTTGTGACATCGGGATCTGGTTTGGAATTGGCGCGATTTTCACTTGTTTCGGAACGATTTTTGTTTCTCCTCCTTTCTTCGGCAGAATTTTAAGCGGTGCTTTCTTAGGATTTTTAATTACTACTTTTGGCCTTTTCAACTGCGGTCTGGCCTTATCGATAATGAGGAATAAGGAATTTTGATTGGTGCTGGAGCCATCGCCTTTGCTCAACAATTGTAGCAACCTGAAAGAAGATAAGCGAAAAGGTAAGTAATATAAGTAGACATTGCATTTTTTTCTCCATTAATAAGAGACCCTAGTAGCAATGAGCTTTTAAAACATTCTTCAAAAACTCTTAGAAGAATTGTAAAAATTTTCGTAGGTACTGGGAAACCCGTTTTGGCTATTTTTTAACTAAAATTTACAAGAAGTAAAATTTAAGGAAAAAAGCGTTAAAACACGCTTGAAATATCCCTGTAGTTTCTTTAAAAAAAATGTCAAACATTTTTAGCATTCAAAAACTAAAATTGATAGGTATCTATTTTAAGGGTTTTGTTAACACTTTTTTAACTTAAATTTTAAGTTAAAAAAAAACCAAAAAGGGTTCCCTAATTAGAGAATTTTAACAGTTTCTTAGGAGTTGTCTTTAGGAAATTTAAGAGTTTTTTAAAAAAACATTTCTAGCAGTCGTTGCTACTGGGGTACCTAATGACAAAATCCATGTCACAAACAAGCTGTGGGTAAAAGGAAGCAAATGTTCAAATTTATTTTTTGATCTAATTTCTTGCACAATTTGTGTGCTTAGAGATTTCAAAATTTTGAGCTATGAAAATTTGTATGGTAGCAGATTTCTTATGTACTCGGGAAATGTTTGCATTTTGTTCCTTTAAAGTCACACGGAAGAATGGTTTACACATATTTAATTGGTATATCATACAGCTGAAACATTTCCTCATACTCTGTTATTAGCATAGGTAATCCCCTACTAAATGCAGCCCATATTTCAGGAAGGAAAGAGCAGGACATTTAAAGTAATTTTCACAAATACATCTACCGACTTTATTGGGCAAGTTTCACCATATTGTACCTAGATAATAAAATACGTGTATTTAGGCTTGTGATGTTACAGATAATTGCCTGTTAGGTACATTTCATTTTTTTGAAACATGACGAATGGTCATCATTTTTGTTCCGAAGTTCGTGCGCATCATCAGGATTACTCTTCGAAAATTTCGCACTTACAAGTCAAAATTAGTTTATTAAAGTATTAGTCATTAAAGTACATTAAAGAAAACTCTACACATCATGGTCAGATACCTAATTTTTTGCGATTTCGAGGGCTGGCAACGCTGTAATACCTTTAAACAACGCTTTTCTCGGAAAATTGACAGTGTCGCGGTGATAATCAGTGATAGTTAACTTCATCGGCATGATAGACAGTGCTGGATTGAAGTTAAAACGTATAAGAAACAATCAAAGCTGCAGTTTCTATAGCATGCAACGGATACTAAACGAATTTCATCATAACGCCTGGCCTGGATGCAACTATACGGGCTCCATGGATGTCCGTGTTGCATACGCACCGACGTAAAGGCGTTCTGGCTTCACACACTAACCGCCTCAACAGCGACGGTCAGTAGAACGAGTCAAAGAGAGGAGTCATGCAAAGTGTGTAAACATTAAAAGGTCATATTGATGTTAACACGGAACGTAGAGGTTTTCGAGGTTTTAGAAAATTCGACTTTCACGTCAGAAAATACCCGTTGCCCCCAGATTCACAAACATCGATCTAACAGGAGCCGAGATAGCATTTTAAGCCACGTCCACATTTTCGAATTTTGAAAATTTGGGTTGAAATTCAAGTCTCCCGTCTAAAAATTGTCATCTGGTACCAGCTTACAAAGAAGAATCGATCGAACAAGAGCCGCACGTCGTAGCAATAGCAGGACTCCACACAGTGGTAACGATATTAATAATTAAAACGTGTTTATTGACCAGTTATGTTCAAATGCGCACGGCAGTGCGCCTTCATTTTCGTCTGATACTGTGCAACACTTCTGTGGTGGAATAGTTGCTCAGAGCGCCTCGAGCGGTGTCGCTTCGACTTGATGACGAAAGATGACGATTACCGCTGAAAATACACTCTGGCGATTGCGCAGTTTCACATGTTCTCAACACCGATGTTGTGATAAAAAAACATTCATACCTCAATTTATGAAGGTGCAAGTTTTTCACTGCCTATCTTATGCGGGTAAATCAAGGTGAACACTTTAAAATCTGCCGTGATTTTTCGGAGATAAGATGAGAAATATTATTTTAATCGTTTCATTCAAACTTACTGGCAGGCTTTCGTTAAAAAGGGAAAAAGAAGTGTGAGTAGGAGCCTTTTAGCGAACAAAAATGAATCCGAAATTTACAGCCCTCAAAGTAACCGGGTCGGAGGAGTTAAGCGCCAATACAAACTGACTGACGATCAGTTTTATTATCAGCTCGCTTTTGCGCCCTGGTAAAAATTGGCAGTAGAATCTGTGTTCCAAAATACCATAGACCAACAGCCGGCTGTAAGATTCCCAATAGCTTCTACAGCCGGCAACACAATTTCTTATAGCCTTTCATAGCCGATGGCGACTAAGCAACAGCCTGGTGATAAAGTGTATGCTAAACGTTACTAATTCCGGATGCTAGGACTTAGCGAGTTTTTGGACTACCGCTCTCTTTTTGGGCAGTAGTATCTTGATTTATTTTGCGAGGAAAGCTCCGTACTTCTGATGGATGCCTGCCATTCCTAATATGTTTGAGCGCCTTCAATTTCGTATGATACTGTGCAATACTTCTGGTGTGAAATAGTTGCTTCAAGCGCCGTGGCACGCAGCGGCGCGGCAGGCGGGCAGCCAGCTCGAAACGCGCATTGGCGCCTACAAACCTAACAGGAATACTTCACGCGTTGCGCAATGCGTGAAGTATCCCTGTTAGGTTTGTAGGCGCCAGTGCGCCGCCGCTCCGCTTTGTGTTAGGCTCTAATATTTGATCTCGTGGAGTCAGCGTTTTTCAACTCATGACTTTGAAATGTTTGCACACTCTGTATGGATTATTCATATCTCATTGTGATTGATGAAAAAAATATGTAGTAAAGGAAAATACAATGTGCATTTTGTAATATAAAGGTGATTCCGTATAAACTTAAGGATTTACAAAGCACACAAATGTCTACACAATTTCTTATGGCCTTTTATAGCCGATGGCGAAAAAGCAACAGCCAGGCGATAAAGTGTAAAGCCCGGTAATAGGAACTATAGCCTGGCTGTATAATTTTTTATCGCTTCGTGTAGCCTGGCCGTATGATTTTTTCCACTTTCTACAGCCAGCTATATGATTTTCTATCGCCTTCTTCAGTCGGCTATAAAAACTCCTATGGTATTTTGAAACGCAGCTCCTATCGACAATTTTTACCAGGGCGTCTATAATCTATATATTATGAACTTTGACTATATTCCTCCGAATGATCCAATGAGAAAATAAGAAAATAAAAACAGGAATAAATAAACAACCAGTTTCTACACCAAATTTTTCTCTTTTGAAATTTTAATGGGTAAATAATTACCTACGCCTTGTGGTACTTAAATTCTCCCTCTATTAAATCGTCTATCAGACTGAATAAAACCGTAAAGAGACATGAAAGAAACCAAATCACATTAAGAGAGAAAATGAATGCGGAGTAAACAGTTTTGAGGCTAAACTAATGGCACATTTTTCCTAGCAAAAATTTTGAGTCGGGGAAACAATTTTCTGAATGTGTATTTTTTTTTAATTTATTGAAAACAGGCATTGAGCTTCCTCTCTCGCAAGCATTACAGAGAAATGTGGCTTCAAATCTCTCTTTTTCTTGGTTCGGTTTGGACGTGACTTAATTCCTTCCCGGTAACTCTGTCCACAAAATGATGGCTGAAGTGCGAAACCACGTATCTTTGTTTGCGACGTTGCAGTCTTCCTATCATACTCTATTTTTGCTCTTGAAAGCTACTCAAAGTAATTTCTTGAAAACAGCTTAGACCTTTCCTTTTTGTTGGCAGAATATTCTGCATAGATTTGAAGCTAAAAAGATGACTTGATCACCAAAAAATAAAATGGATTCGACGCAATTAAGATACATGAATATGAGAATAGAATAGAATAGAAATTATACTTTAATCTTACCCTTTCAGGTTTATAAAATTACAGAAATTTTATTTTTTATGCAAAATATATGCATATCATCAGTATTTAAAATTTTAAAAGTTTTTGTACACTAACAATCTAAAAATTACAAAAATGCTAGAACGGTGGTTGTACACTTGGAAGGAGATAGATTCATAACTAAAAATTGAATTTAATCATTGATAATGAAGGAGGAAAACCTGATTGTCACAAATTAAGATACGTGGTTTAGCACTTTGACCATGGATAAGGAAATCTGAGAATGAACTGTTCATTTCGGAAAATGTTTCTTCGAAAATTCCTTACTACGAATAGGGAGTATTTTGTTTTTAATAGATTCTCTCCATCAATAATGGAACACAAGTGTCCTCTGTAATCAATCTGCTTGATAGATCCTTTATATCATCAGCTTCAGTCTAAAAATGTACACCCTCGATACAACTTTGCAAAATTTTCAAATAGGTTTTTTTTCTCCCATTTTTTTTTGGAGAGAACTAAAGAAGTAAGTAACTAAACTACCTCCAGAAATTTTCAAAAAACATCAATGAAAGAGTAAAAACAATTTACAGAAAATAAGAAAATCTATTGTTTCGTTTTCTTTCAAAGCAAATAAAACAAGAGCGAAGATTGGCAATGTCACGATTAGAAATACGCATTTTTCGACTTCAGCCGTCAACATGTTTCTGGACCTCACAATCTTTCCGAACTTTTTCTTGACTCCTGATACCTAGCATGAACAATGCTGACTTCCCATAGATTTTCTGGATCTGAAGAAACCATGCATCAAATTGTTTACCAGTGGGTCAGTTGCTCTTATCATGAATTTAAACCTTCCTAGCTGAATCATTTCCATTTGACCAAAGGCCGAATCTATGTTGTGACATAAATATTTATGAAGGCTAACTTAAATAATAGCCAACAAGGAAATAATGATGTAAGACTTGTTTTTAATTTCTCTGTTTTCATTTATTGATAAAAAGATCTAGAGAGAATTCAGGGATGAATCAATGTGAATGATAAAAATAAAAAAAGAACAGAACAAAACTAGAGTTTTTCACACCATTAAATTCACAGATAAACTCCGTCGAGAAACTAGGACATAGAAAAGTACTGTACATGAAGAAAAAGTAGAAACATATTTACGAAAAGGTCGTATCCGTAAAATAGCCTTCATTCAAGGATTATTATTCTCGTCGAAAATTGAAAGCTCAATAGAGAATGGTTGAGCATCCACATGTCTGTTTTAAAGCATTCTTGCCCTCTTAGCTTGCAAATAAAAAGTGTGAACTTGGTTGAGTAAATAATGCAATTTTCCTAGCATTATAGGTCCAATGTCTTGTTGCTTGACCCTGAGTCCAAATTGACAGCCAAAGATTTGAGGGAAGAAGAGGATATCTCAATGTTTTCTGGGCAGATGAGTGTTGAAAAAGGCAAGGCTGAAAGTTGGACATATGCCAAAATTTTTAAGGCTGTTGCAAATAAAACTACAGTTTAGAAGCCTGCGACCTCCTACCATGTTTTGACAAGCTAATTCCAAGAGATTGAAAAAAATGCAAGGTAACTATACTCTTAATCAGCTAAGTGTACTTCAGCAATACAGGAAGTTTGAAAGGTACAGGTGGTAAATCCTTCACTTCATCTACCCTGTCGAGCAATACTGAATCTATTCATATCTATTTCAGTCTTTTGACTTGTGACTCTTTAAAATTATTCCCTATAAAAAATCACTCCTTGATTCAGTTTAGAAGAGAACTGGTCATTGTATTCAGTCATGGTTAAACCATGATTAGCCTTAATGTGAAAACTGAGGTACTTTTGGTGTTTATAAGTTCGGTTACAAATGGAACAAGTGTGAGGCCTGGCATTTGAGTGGACTGTCAGATGCCTTTTGATCGCTCGTTTGTCATGAAACATCCTAGGACAAGACTCATACGGGCACTTGAATGGTTTTTCTCCTGTGTGGCGGCGCATGTGCTCCTTCAGCCGGTACTGAGTTCGGAATCTGCTCGAGCAGTTAGGTTCCGAACAGTGATACGGGAAATAATCAGTATGACTCCTTTTATGGCTGTAAACGCAGGTGTGCGACGGGAACCATTTGCCACATATTTTACACTGATAGGGTCGTTCTCCTGTGTGCGTGCGTCGGTGGTCTTCCATGGCCTGTTTTTCTGCAAACGCATGACCACAAATGTCACACTTGAACTCCCGTTTTTTCAAGTGAAAAACATCTACATGACGAGTAAGGCGTGCTTTTGTGAAGAACTGGAAACCGCACAAGTGGCAACAAAATGCTTTGCTTCTTGCGTGTAGTATGAGATGGCGGAAAAACTGATCCTCTTTAGTGATCAATCTTGAGCAGATGTTACAGCGAAAGTTCGGCTCGTTATTGATCATGACTTTGCACGATTGTACGACTGGCTCCAATTTCAAGCGATCCTCCATTGTGATATGTCGGCTTCTGTGTTGCATCAGTTTGTTCCGATGCTTAAAGGTTAGGCCGCAGACATCACAAGTTGCTGGACTGGGCTTTGGAGACTGAGCTCTTGCGCCTGAAGCATCACCAGAGGAGGATCTGGTGGACGCCCTGTGGTGATTATCGACTGTGAAGACATCATTATGTAAAACATTTGCATGAGTGACTAGATCAGTAACAGAGTCAAAGAGACTTTTGCATATACTGCACATCAAAGCCAGGTTCCCTGGAATTTCGTGTTCTTTAACATCATGATCATGTTTGACGTGCTGTTCAGCATCTTCCTCCCTTTGCAGTTCTATCCGGCATATCTGACAAATGATTATTTTTCTGAGAACTTTCGTATTTTCGAAAACGATAATGGACTCTGGGTGCTTGTTCCTTTGATGCCGAAACAAGTCATGACGTCTGGTGAAAGCTGATTCACAGGAACCAATCATACAAGGGTGCCTGGGTTCTGTACTTTCTCGGACAAAGTCCTCGTCCTGTCCCGGGTGTTCCAGTCGATGGTGCTTGATATACAACTTTCTGCCTTTGCATAAATATGAGCAGATGTTACAGAGGTAAGATCTACATCGTGCTTTGTCTTTATAGGCACCGTCCTCGATACTGAACAAGTCTGCATGAACTTCTTTCAGGTGTTTGACCATTGCCAGCTTGTTTTTCAACTGGACTTGGCATTTGTCACATGTCAGACTGACTTCCTCTCCTTTGGGCGGCTGTTGCTTTGCGCTTGAAGTTTTTGCTTTCTGTTTTTTTGGTTGTGGCTTAGTTGTTCCTTTACCATGTTTTATTCGTTCATGACGAATAGTGTCTCTACTACGGCTATAAGTCTTTGAACAAAAACGACACTTAGATCTATCATTGACAGCTTCTTTTGCATTCGTTTGTTTCGACTTAGCTCTCTTTGATTTCAATGTTTTTGTTTCTTTGGGTAAAGGTTCATCCTTTTCAGCATGACTCAATCCATCATAGATAAAGTCACTGTTCAAGTGACTCGCTTGTTTACGTTTCCTCTTTCCAAGGTCAATCTCCTTCTCTCCTTCAACCAGTTTAGTTTCGGGGATGATAAACAGGAATTCATCATCTTTTTCTTCCTTACTTTTGCTGACTTTGGTTGCTTTTTCGTTAGGTCTCCTTCTTGCCAGTGACCTGGACAGAAAAGAAAATATACTTTTTTCTCAAACGGTAGTCGGTGAAAACAAGTTCAGATCAGGTTAAATATTTTTCAGAGCTGATAACTGGTAGAGGTAATTGAGCCTTGGAAAATAACCCTCCAATTTGAGTTATTGTATTGTGGAAAGCAAAAACTGTATTTTCTGACAATTTGAGGATCTTCCAATTACTATTGAAGATGTCTTTTGCGAAATTCCATCTCATTAAGAGACAATTCAACTGTCTATTTCATAGCACAGAGAGAGCTATCACATAATTGTGTTTGCCAAAAATTTCAGAAGGCAGCACTTTATCTTTGATGTGAACATGGAGGTTTGAATCATAGATATTAGAAGTCTGAGTAGAGATACAATCATTGTTTGTAACACAGTGCAATTAATCTGATGAAAACTATCTGTTCTCAGTTGCTGATTAGAAAAAGTGACCTGCATTTTAATCAACAAAAGTCCATCTTCGGTAAGATTTAAGAATTCCAAAAGAAACTTTCAATTCTCTGGTTTCTGGTACATGCTGAACAACAACCAGGGTTACTATCAGTCGCAAGCCCAAAACGTGATTTCACATTACTCTCATAGTAAGGAGAGATTCTTACCATTCTTTAGAGGTTACAGATCTTTCACAGCTTAAACCTTATGAGGACAGAAAACGACTTTCCATGCTGTTTCAGTTTTCATTTACGTTACATCTGATTTATTTTCACTTTGACGTAGGGGCTGTCGTACAATTTTTTTTTTTTTAAATTGACTTTCAGAGAATATGTAAAAAAAGATTATTTGCATCTTCTAGTTTTACAATTCACCAAACTTCAGCTGAGAAAATGAATTTCAAAGCCAGCAAAGATCCAACCCTATTCCTAACAGTAAAATATTGCATAAATGGATTTTATGACGCCACGAGAAAAATTGACCTCTGTATATCCTTTCATCCATATTTTTTTACTCACTTACTGGTCACAATTGTGACAAGAGATGATGTATCCTGACCATGCTTGAATTTAACCACTGTTTGAAACTGATATTTTCGCTGGTTTAGCAGAATGAAATCTACTTTCTTATCACAACTCCAACTTTAGACTTCTTTCATCAGTCAAAAAAGCTATTTTGAGCTTTTTTAGCCTAAGAAACATACTCCTCACTAAAATTTAAGTGAAAAACCATTAGTTCCAAAGAAAGTCTTGGATCATGCGACAGCCCCATTGCATTACAGGGGCAAGAGATTCTGCACTTCTTAGAAAAAAAGATAGTCAAGTAAGGAGAAAAAAAGAAAGTAGTGAGACATAAACTTACTTTTCTGATGTGACTTCTTTACTGCTTGCCTCGGTAGAATTCATATTGTTTGAGGGGACTTCTTCAACATCGTCCATTGATGGCGACGCCTACAGGAAATTAAAAAAAATACAGTCTCCTTTAGATCTAATGGTAACATGTGGGAACCAAAGGTAGACAATTTATATTTGAAAATTGTAAGGGATTAAAAAGAAAGGAAAAGAAAGAAAAAAAAAAAATATAATGAAGAAATTAACTTTGATGACTTCATTAATACCTCTGTAACATAGTGAAACTATTTCTTAGCCTTAAGACTCCGTGTAATTGAGGCACTGGATGCAAAAAGGGCACTTCTCGGTTGCAGTGTTTCAGAGTCTCCTCTAATATTTCATTCGTTGTAAGGAAAATGAATGCATCCATTTCACTAGGAGCTTTACTGAATATTCCTCATGATTTTACAATTTTCGATGAAGAGAATTCTGGAAAAATCACCCATTGAATTCTTCTCCAAGGGATTAATTAGCAACAGAGATTCTGAAACACCGCATCCAAGGAATGCCCTTTTCGCATCCAGTGCCTCATTTTCAACTTAGCATTTGTTCTCTTTGGATCAAATATTTAAGTCATCTCCTTCATTCATTGGTCTCAGTTTTGGATACAATTATTTCCATAAGTTGTATTTAGACATATGTTTTACTGCAGTCTATCTATTAGGTGCGGATTCATTTTAATTTTCCGGTGAATTGTTGAGCAAATGTAAGGTAATCCAGCTTTTAGCACTCCTGTAGAATCATCTCTACCTAACTTCTTGGTTATGGGTGACTAAATGGGTGACTTGGTTATGGGTGCAAGGGGTGACTAAATCAAGAAAATTTTGTATACAGTGCATAATGTAAGCATAACATTCAGTTAACAGCAATGAGCATATAAATGAGATTTCAACAGGAAAAAATACCTCCTCAAGTTTACATCACCTTTTTAGTAGAGCAACTTCTTTAAGCTGAATTTCATTGATAAATCAAATAATAAGATTTTTCTGGAAACTCTTTGATATACAGCAAAATGAGTTGCGAATGATGTTTCGTTGATTTTTTTTTACCAATGATGAGTGTGACATTAGATTGCATTATCTGGCTATTTTGAGTTTTAAATCGGGCCAATCAGAACTTTGAAAAGCTCTCTCTAGAGACTACATATCTGCCCCAAAAAGTTAAATCCATTAGATCTAATGCTGGTCTGGTCAGACATTTAGGAGCCTTATTCATTCCGTAATATTTACGAGATACTCTTCTACCTTCAGGTAATAATAACTCAATTTTGAAATGCTGTGGACTGAGGACCTAATCCCGATAGACACTCAAAACTGAGAATAAAAACTTACCGGTGGTGAAAAGTCTGGAGAATTTGTTTGTTCTTCAAGTAACGTCTGGAGAATCGAACCTTTTATGTTAGGGCTAGTGGAATCACAGTCGTTCTCTTCTTTCCTTTCGCAACTTTCCGGTGTGACTTTCTCCTATTATGATTGAAAAATTCAATTTTAGATTGAGGGTAAAAAAGCATTACTTGGGAGTTTTAAAATACGTTTAAGAAACAATTGCAGCAAAATTCATATCCTTGGTGACCAAAGACCAGGGAAACTCATTAGAATCTGGTTGGGTAGATAAAAGCCAAATATGGCACTACCCTAAGATTTTGTAAGACCCTTTTCTGCAAAAAAAGTATGACCGCAAGGCTGATAACGCAGCTTTCAGTCCAAATTAAAAATAGCTTGCAGGAAAAACCTCTTGTCATTATAGCAATGCTGATTGAAAGTAGTGATTTAAAAAATAAAAAGTAGAAATAAAGATAAATAAGACTCTTTTGTCATTATCAATATTAGATTTGATGCTTTTAAAACAATTAAATTGTGATTTATGGCATGTTCATGGGACCTTTGTAAAATTAAAGGACCGTAATGAAAATATGGCAGTACTATAAGAATTTATAGGATTATAGGACCTGTAGATACCTTAGTAAACTGAACAAGATAGTTCCAAATCGTGAAAAAAGGAAAAAGAAAGTTCTTGAGTTAGAATTCATACTCACATTACTTCGGCCTTCCTTCATATCCTTTAACTGTTTTTCAGCTGTGATGCAGCTCTCAAATAAATCATGCCATGACGTGATGGACGATGCACATTGATAGCACATACTGGATGGCAGTTCATCAGATGGGTCAATCTGAAATATCGAAGGAAACAAAAAATTGAGAACAGACTTCAAAATATGTGGTAGTCCGGAAGAAAAGGGACTCCAGTACACAAAAACTCTAAAGAAAGTTATGTATCGATGCAATTCCAAGTGATCCAAGGACAAGATTTGCCACTATGTTGTGTTGCTGCACAGTCTGTGTCTTTGAGAGGCAATAATTATCATAATGCACAAATTAATGCAAAATACGAATTGACAGCGTATAGTAACATTAGTACTGAGTAGTACAACATCAAATTTGTGAGGTATCATTGAAAAATTATGTCAAAAACTACTATAGTGGATGTTGCTCAGTGGCTCAATGTGTAAAAGAGAGATAATAACCCTGTATATTTATTACACATTCAGTCAATGAGCCACATCCTTTATAGTGGTAAACTTGAAACTCCGGATACAAAAGACGAATGGATGCGAAAAGCTCTTGGCCTACCTATTTTAAAAACACTCTGTTTCACCCAAATTTTGTACTTCAAGGTGATGACTGTCTATGCTTTATAATGCTTTATACTTAAAATTATCCACTATTTAATAGTCCCTGCAATTTCTTCTCACATGTGAACAAAATGCACTTATTACTTCCCCTCCCTGGCAAGCAAAGTGATCAAAAGCAAACTGCCAGCTGCGCCATTGAGAACGATGAGATTGACACTGATAGTTTTGGAGCTACTTTCTGCGTGCGCAAACAATAAGGAAAAAGTAGCTTTGATACCTTGCGTCCATGTCTGTAAACATGAAGACAAGGTATCAAGGCTTCTTTTATCTTATTATTTTATGATTTATGTAAAATACATAGTGAATGTCTCAGAAATCTTTCAGTTACTGATTTAGTGGTCCTCCATGAATGTATTTAATTTACCTGTTGCAGGCAAATAGTCAAATCAGTCATATTATCAAATGTCTCGGCCAATAGTCAAATGAAGCCATATCTGTAAAAACAGCGGATGTTCAATATCCGCTGTTTTTACAGGACATCCACTGTTTTTACAGATATGGCTTCATTTGAGTATTGGCTGATTGACTATGTTCGATATCCGCTGTTTTTACAGGACATCCACTGTTTTTACAGATATGGCTTCATTTGACTATTGGCCTACATATTTGATAAAATGCCTGATTTGACTATTTGCCAGCGACTTACAAATTAAATACATTCATGGAGGCCCACTAAATCAGTAAATGTAAGATTTCTGAGACATTCATTACATATTTAGGCTTGCGCATGAAGCTGACAATGCATTTTTGTGGACAGAAATGTGTGGTCAGGCTAAAAATCGATGCATATGGCTACATTGTAGGGATCAGCAAGCTGTCCTGCAAGAAAATTGTTGACAGATATTGTTTTCGCTTATTTACTACGGTTGGAATTCTTCACTTGTTTTCCCAGCATGATGACAATAATTACAAGAAAAAATTTTGGCAGATAGCATCTTATGAACTAGAAAAGAATGTGCATTTCTAATTTTCTTCAGAGAATGGCCCTGATAACCCTTTCCAACATTAAAAAAAATTTGACTGCTGATAGCCCTGCTGATGCCCTAGTAGCAACGACTCTTAAAAAACTTTCCGATAACTCTAAAAGTTCAAAAAGACAACTCAAAAAAAACTGTTGAAATGTTGGTATTAGGAAACCTTTTATGGCTATTTTTTAAAATGCAATTTACAAGCGGTAGAATTTAAGTAAAACGTGTTAAAAATAACTCTTAAAATATCAACTGAACATTTTCAACACTAAAAATGTTTGAAAAAAATGTTAAAAAATACAGTGATATTTTAGGAGTTTTTTTGACACTTTTTTTTTCTTCAATTTTACTAAGATTTTACTGAGGAAAGTAGCAGACAAGGGTTTCCTAATTACAAACATTTTAATATTTGTTTTGAGAGTTTTTGAAAAATGTTTTAAGGATTATTGCTACAAGGGTGGTTCACAAAAAAATTTTGCCAACTCACTGTCAATGGAAGATATTTTTCTACTCTCAGTTTGAGATCCAATTGAATCCCCTCTCCTTCAAAGATTGGGATGAGGTATTCATTCCGGTTAGCACAAATCCGACAGAGGTGAGAAAAGTCAGGCGGTTCAATCTTCACCGGACTATTTTCCTTCACGGTTGAAACTGAGGGTGAAGAATACCCATGATCTTGCAGCTCCATTGTGTTTCAAGCAATTGTTGCCTTCAACTGAAAAAAAGAAAATTTATTCTTTACATACAAGATAGTGATTAAAGCTTACCACTGGGAGTGTAAGCAATATTTATTTCTACAAGGAGATAAGAGTCTAAGTACAGCTGAGCTTTTTTAACAGTATCAATATCAATGTTAACATTCTTGCCTTAACTTGCGGCCGACCGCAGACCCGCAAGCCAGATTTGGATCAAAAATTGATTATGACTCCTTTCAATACTGCTGCCATCTAATTGCATAAATTAATTTGCCATTTTATGCAGGTTCAGAGCTAATCAAAGGTTGACACTTGGTTCTACATGTAATGAGCAAGCTCTAAGATACATGTATGATGGACAACAGGCCTCAACAGAAATTACCCAGTGAAAGCGTTGCGAGTTTGACAAGCATTCTTGAATCTCCATTGAGATAACGCTTTTTACTCGGTGACTGTCATGGCGGTTCAATGCTCACCCAACAGCTCAGTACCTTTTGCGGCTGGTGAATGGAGCATTGGGCGTTGAAGTGGTAAACAATGTCTTGTGACAGATGTTGGGCCTCAGTTGAACAGCGGGTAACTCCGCGGGAAATTCACCAAAATAATCTCCATTGTCTTTCACGAATGCATGACTACCTGATGCAGTCTCTACAAGAGGTTTTGTTGGCTAAGTTGGCACTTGTTTACATTCTGTTTGCATGTAACAGCGATGCAGTTGTCCAGTGGCAATCAAGGATTGACTGCAAGCAGAGTGCAAACGTTAATCCTCGATCACTGTTGGACAACTACATCGCAGTTGCTTTCGAACAGGATATAAACAAGTGCTGACTTAGCTGACAATACCCCTGTTCGAGATCACGGCCCTGATACTAGAACTGACTCGAGGTTATGATTCTAGGATTGCAGAGTTAAGAGTCCATGCAAAATGATTCTACGCACTTCTAGACTGTGACAGAAGATCACCTGACATCACTTTTACATGTAAAGTAAATGCATCAAGCGAGATAGCAGATCTTCTGCTGGTGTCTGAAAGTGCATATACATGTTTGGCATGGACTCGAATGCAGACAGACCCTAACGGTGAGCTTGTAGCTTTGCAGTTTGCAGAGCAGCGATTGCTGGTTATCTAAAACAAAAGGTTAGGCGATTGGGCAATTTCTCCGTCTTGTTTGTTCTGGTAAGGAGAAACCTGGACTTTGCCTATCAATTACGCTGATCTAAAGACACAGAAACTGTACAAATTTGTAGTATATTCTGGTTGAAGGTGTAAGAGAGCTTACCATAAATTACTATGGAGAGATGAAAGTTTTAAAGCCGTGGGCACTGGGCAGGCAACCATCACAGAGATAGGCTCTTGGAGATGATACTTGGTTATCAGGGTAAACACAACAAACCAGCACTTTGATACTTTACATACTGACAGGTACGTAGAAAATTTTACCTAGACTTGACACAGATTCTGAGATACGAAAATTGCATACTTTTTCACATTAAGCAGACGAAGAAATGAAAAATTTGAAGTGCAAGTGAAGATAGATAACGCATTGTGTTGACGAAGAGCCTCCAAGAGCCTCCACAAGCAGTGCATTCATCACCCAGAGCAGCAACAACCAACAATAACATGTGATGAAAACTTTAAGGTTATGCATGTTAACCCCTAACTTCCCTGATTTGGAGTTTGTTTGGAGTTTCCTTGTTTTTCAATGTGCAAAAGTGCTTCAAAATTAGCAACTAATATGAATTTTTATCTTTAAAGCTCTGTCATTCTTTATTATTGATCACTTTATATTTTGGTTAGTGCGAGAGTCCCTTTCTAAGTACATCAAGTCATGTATTGGCTGTCATCACTTCACGCATTACATTGTGTGCTTTTTACCACTGATAATTTTATGCAGTGAGGTGAAATGAGTTCTCTCTACCTATTTCGCAATTTAAATAGAGGTAAAGTTCCCTGCTCATTTTTGAACAATCATTCAGGTGTATGATTCATTTAAGAGTTAGATGTATGTTTTCTAGTGGTATTGTTATGAGGAGGGTGTTGATTCGATCGACACTAATCGATCGAAAAATGAAAACGTGAAACGATCGATATGAATAGATCGACACTGACTTGATTGACGAATTGTTAAAAATCCGGTGTCAATTCGATCGACATGAATCGATCGAAAAATGAAAACATGAATCGATCGACACCGATTCGATCGACAGTTAATTTAAAAACACCTGTGTCAATTCGATCGACATGAATGGATTGAAAAATGAAAACGTGAATCGATGGACACCGATTTGATTGATAAAATTCGGTCGACTCAAGGATTTGTCGATCGCCTCACAGGTTTGTCGATAGACTAACGGATTTTTCGATCCATTCACGGATTTGATGATCGATTCACGGGTTTGTCGATCCACTCACGGGTTTGTCGATCCATTCACGGATTTGTCGATTGATTCACGGTTGTCGATCGAATCAGTGTCGATCGATTCACGTTTTCATTTTTCGATTCATTCATGTCAATCGAATCGATACGGGTGTCTTTAAATTAACTGTTGATTGAATCGGAGTCGATCGAATCATGTCGATTGATTCCCATTTTCATTTTTCGATCGAATCCATACCCTCCTGTTACAATTGCATCTTTGGCAATATTTTTAGCTAATAGAACCGACCAATTTTGAACTGATCGCCATTGCCTCTAGCAAGGTAGAATTTTGAACTGAGGTTGAAGTCTCAAGTCCTCTGTATTATATGCCACCATGAAGTTGGAGCTTATGAAAGGTAGAACTTGTGTCAGACACCTAAGTCATCAGTTGTTTCCCCTCCATTCGCAAGTGACTATGCTGCCGCCATCTAATAGTCATCAAGGATTGACCAAATGCAAGGACGAAACCATGCTGCTTTTATGAGCAGGTACCAAAAACCAACATCCCCCCTCTGATGTTTAATTATTTTGAACCAGCTTCAGACTGAAGCAAATGCTCTGTAAGTAATCTTGTATACTAACACCCCTTCCCACTCAAATATTCTTTATTTTAAATTTTTGCCTATCATTTTTTTTTTTCAGGCTGACTCACAAGAAAGTGACCATGATAGGGTGCAGATTTTTCCCCAAAATCAAAAGGTTGACCACAGTAGCCTTTTCAAGTGGGCCTGAAAAGTTACCGAGCAAATTTGTATTAGAGGATCTGAATCTGTACCACAAAAAGAACATTCAGAAATATGAAAAAAAGGCTGATCAATGTACTCCTCAGTTTTTGGAACGAATGAAAAAACGCTACTCTTTAAAGGCACAAGAACGCATCGATTTCAGTTCTTTAGCTGAACAGTACCCTAAAGTTCCTGCCATTGTGGAATATACCTCAAAGGAACTAAAAATCCCCCCAAAGCACATTATGTCAGCTTTACAGGAGGCGCCTGAACTTGCAGATATTGCTCCTGCCAAGTGGGCCACCTGTTTTGGACATTTAACCCAATACGGGTTTGCCAAGCAAGGTTTGTAGATACTTAACCAAGTTCTTGTCATTAAAAAATGTTTAATTGTGATGGAAATCATTTTGACCCATCATGAAGTAATAATAGGAATATCAGAGATCATTCAAAATTATTATTATTTTTTTTTTTACTTTTCTCAAGTATCTTTACTTGATGCATCATCTAGTAGATTATGCTGCGTTCAAGAGTTTAAAGTTTTTTTTTTTTATTTTTCTCTTATTTATTTCATTCAGAGTTTTTCTCTTAATAATATTTTATGAAAGTGATTTATTTTGAATTTCACAGCGTCATGTACACTAAATTGACGATTAAATCTCTGGAAGGCTTGACCGTTTGTTTGAAGGATATTGAAATTAAATCTAATTGTTTCTCCTAGGTATTTAAAAAGTTTCCACACTTTTTCAAAGGACAATGTGAAACTACCCATTGGCAAGATTTTTTTGGTCAAATTAGATCAGTCCCATGGGTACTGATGGGCCTCTTAATATGGTTTGAAAAACTGCAGTGGGTACTAAACAACACTTGCAATCCAAAACACTGCGCACTATATTCTCTCTTTGAAATTTCATAAGGAAAATGAATAAAGCAACGAACAGTCTGAAAATCAACCGTTAAACAAGATATAAGAGTTTATAATAAATATTGGTTGAATGGCAAAAGTTCAAATGACGTCATTGGTATCATCTAACTTCAATTTGAGCTGTGATATAAACACGCATTAATATTTCATTCAGGGGTTGGTTTCTTGGTGTGTGAATTAAAATATTTTGAAGAGAAAATGTGCAACGTTTTACCACTGTTTCTAGTGGCCCATTCATAGCCCACCTATATGCAAAGACTTAATTGGACTTATTTCTATCAAATGGAACTATGTGCATCAAGACATGAGCCCTGAGACCCATAAGAATACATACATACCAGGGCTCACATCATGATGCTCATAGTTCCGTTTGACAGAAATGCGTTCAATTAAATATGCAGCCGAGGCTGCCTCTTTAAAAAACAGAATCAAGGCATCAAGCTCCGTTTGATTATCAGATCAAATACAAATATCATTCAAACATTCAAGAACTTCATGTCTATGAATTTTTGTGAAATTCGGAGAGAATGAAAAATTCAAGAGTGGAACAATGATTCCCAAAAAATAGACAAAAAATATTTACTAATAAATTTACGTGGGTCTATGCTATTTATTTATTTTTACTTTTGGTACATGAGCCGTGTACATGACTTTAATACAGGTCACATGCTAGATAGTTACATGATAATAGTAGATACATGATGCAAATAGTAGATACAAGACTAGAGGTTGATGAGTACTTTCTCAAAGTACGGGGCATTTGCTGCTGAAAAGTTTTTGAGTGAAGTCAGGAACCTAGCAATGTTTCCTACTTTAAACAAATCTTTTAAATTTCTGGGCAGTGACTTGAAGAATTATGCTGCAGCAATTTTAACATTGTTCCTTGACTTCTTCAGCCTCTGTCTGGGACTACATTAAAATCATGCCAGCTATTACAAGCGTGAGAAGGGGTTAAGTCGCCAGACTGTATTAGGTTGTTATAGATAGAAAATTTTGAACATTCATAGGTATGCAATGAGGGCAGAATTGGACCGCGTTAAACAGAAAGGAACCAAGCCACATCAGCTATTGCCAAATTTAACAGGGGAATTTGATTTTTTACGAGAGAACGTTTGTGCGGATTCCTTTGAAAATTTTAAGGAATTTGCTTTGTATTATGGAGAAAATTCATAGAAATTTTCACGAAAATCCGCACAACCGTTTTCACGTAAAAAATTAAATTGCCCGATTAAATTTGGCAATAACTGATGTGGCTTGGTTCCTTTCTGTTTAATGCGGTCCAATTAGAAGTTGGTGCCTCTACAAAAATTTCTTTAACTTAGTGGTCATATGGCAGTTTGAAAATTATTCTAATGAGTTTTTTTGTTCTATGAAAATTTTGGGGAACTTCTTTCCTTGTACATAGAAATGGGCTTCTCGACAAGATTCAAATTTAAACATTATGATGTACTTTTGCCCATTTAAATTTCAGGTAGAGCATGATTTGTTCAACAAAAATTATTGTAAAGAGAACACGTATTTTTCATCGGAATTCATTGAAAGAAAACCCTAACCAAGATATCATCGTTTTTCAATACAGAAATTCAAGCTCTCTGCTCATTACAAGAACCATAGCTAATCTGCTTGAATTCATTCGCACACTGAACGTTAATAAATCAGTCTCTGCGATACAGAATTGCGATTTAAAATATGCAAAACCTCAATCTCGAGGCTTCAGCTCACAATCAGCTGTTACATGTTGTCAATACTTTGAACAACACCGTTCAGGGAAGGAACACTGCTCCATTAAGAAGTTAGCTAAAACCATTGAGAGCAGGAAATTAAAATTTTTCTGCATAACCATTGCTAGATAAAAACATGAATATTTCGTTTGGGAGTTAATTTTAGTAATTTTTCTTGCACAAATTTTGCTCAATGAGAAACTTGGAAAAGGAAACATAGGTACATCGAAATGCTTAAATTTGTACCTTACCTAGTGGTCCATTTTCAGATGTTTTCTTTTTCACAGGTAAAACAGTAACAGGTAGGTACTTGTACTTACAAAGTCTCTCTATAATCAATTATGGGAAAAGGGACCATTGGGAAGTGGAACAATTTTTAGGAGAGCAAATTTTGTTAAGTTGGATTATATCGAGTTTTGATGAAAAAATGCACCTAGTAGAAGAACACAGATCAAGTTGTGGGACATTTAGGTCATTTTTCTGCCAACATCAGTCGTAGAGGTGCATTTGATTTTCATTATTTTGACCTGGAAAAATGATAGATCAAAACTTGACACAGCTTTTCCTCACAATTTCAAGTAAGTTTTGAAATTGTGAGGAAAATTTGCTTCTATAATTTTGCTTCTTTTTTTTTTTTTGTTGCAAAGTGTCTACGACACTCTTCTGAGCAATGATACCATATTTTCCAACATAAGTTTTTCGGCACCAAGGTTCTCATGTTTTGAATACCAACCACACTCCTTTTTTCTCTATTTTCAGGCATACTAAAAATGGTCACAGATTACCCAGGTCTCCTTCTATTTGAAGAAAAAGAACTAGAAGACTCAATGTACAATTGGATGAGAATCCAGTTTGGAGAGTCAAGACTACTGCCTCTGCTGGTGAATAACCCCATGTTCCTTGCTCTTGGGGAACAAGACATCGACGATCGGATCCCACCGCTAAGAGAATACCTAGAAGGCAGAAGGAGTCGACTAGCCAAATTGCTTATGAACTCTCCGCAAGTCATGTTCAAGAAGTGGGAAGATGTGAAGATTATAATGGATTACTTGGTTGAGCCGATGCGGATTCCGAAGTCCCAGATTGCGAGGTCTGGTGTTTTCAGGTAGTTGCTTTCTGTATTTCTCCTCTTTTTCTGTATGATCATCCATAGGAAAAGAGACCTTGGCTCAGTGCTGAAGAATTAAAAATTTAAGCCCTAAAACCATTGTTAAGAGCAAAGTTTTATACTTCTCATCGATTGACGGCAAAAAAATTCTCTAAGTGTACCAAATTAGGACAGTTTATGGTTTGAACATAGACATAAAGACGGAGCGCTAAAAGCAAAAAATGAAGCTACTTTTCAACCACCTCTAGGTACTATTGGCTAGAGGATTGGCAGCAAAATCGGGACAAGTTTGAAATTAAAATGTAGGGTGGGAACTGAATAGAATTGCGTAAAAAAAAGTATTCAAGGTCGATTTTTGCCCAAATTCACTCACCCACATATATTTATTAGGTCCAGGTTATTTTTGGTTCATCATCGACCAATTAATTTCATTTGGGAGTAAGAATAATCTTAGGCTGTAACGGCCTGTTTGAACCGGCAGGACCACCATGAGCAGAAGAAAGACTAACTTTATCTGAGGTCCTTGCTTGTTACTGAGCCAAAATAGGTGTATCATACCAAGTCACCGTCCCAATTTCCTTAATATATTCGTTTTAGGCATTTAAAACACGTTTAGAAAAAGAAATATGGAAAAATCAAGAGGACAAGTTCAAATGAAATTTACGTGTCCCGCCCTTCGGATTCCGATGCTCATTTACACACTCACACAAGCGCCCAGCGCCAAATCTGGCTTCACTTTTTCCCTGTGCTTTTATATACGAGCACTCCATCTTTATGTCTTTGGGTTTGAAATACTGTAGACGTCAATCTATGGACAACCAATTTGAAGTGTTCATCCAGAATGTCCAAGGCCAAAAAGTTTCATAGAAAGGACTCTCTTTTAGCTACAAGGAGCTTCTAAGGGGGCTTTAGTGAAATTTGAATTCTCTGTGTTCAATTTGCTATCTGTCCCTCCTACTTTGCTCAACCCAAAATAACTGAGAAAAAAGCCTGGTACAGGTGGTCTGGGACATCTCTACGCACTAACGTCAATGAGGGTTTAGGAAAAAGGCCCAAAATGTGAGTGTAAGAGGGTAAGAATGGTTTGAAAACGAGTTAGTTCCTCAGATCATGTGCTATGTACCCATAGACGTTTCTTGGGTCTTGGAAAAACATTGACTTCAGGCAGCATTGAAAATAGAGAAATTCATTCGCATTCCTCTCTTTTTAATTTGTCGAGGTCGAGAAAATTTTCACACTCTGCCATTACTTTGTGTTCTCTGTAAGAGAAATAGGTATCAAATCGTTTGAAAACCTAATGCCAGTTTACTATCTCCAAGACCAAGCTTTTCAAGATACTTCTGAGTTCTTTCTTGAGAAGAAGCACATAAATTTACTTTTAATAACTACATTTAATTAAAATTTATTTTATAAATTTTAATTTTGTACTCTTGACTAATTAATAGTCATAAAATTATAAAGGAGCTACCATCTCTGTTTCAAGAGTGCCAAAATTTTGTGTTGTTGAATATGAAAGTCTGCTGGGTCAGCTCATCAAATTTGATTAACTGTGTTTATATTGTAGCTTTCTCCAGAACGTAGCATGTTAGTTGCTTTGGGCTTCCTTTTCCGCCCAGTGAGTTGATAAATGGTCGCCAGACAAGTTTGTTGATTTTTGTTTGACAAGTGTCTTTCAACTTATCAGGTGAAAGAAGAAACCTAGAACAGAGTGAGGTATTTGCTCCTGCAGGCGGTGTTTCAGCCTGGTAGGCTACCTCAGGTATCTTTTCAATGTACATCACAGTGGCTGTTCAGCTTCTGTAGCCGCTCTCTTTAGCTCCAAGTTTTTTCATTATCTATTACAATTCTGCATAATTCTCATTTCATTTTTGAGCATCGCCCTAAAATCATTACTAATACCAATTTTTGCTTTGTTTCAGGTATAATTTGTTCCATTTGCGCTGCCGGTTTTTGTTCTTGTACAAAACAGGCGTTTATATCATTACGAAGTACAATGCAGATCCACTTGAAACACCGAAGCACCCACAGCTTACCGATATTGTTGACACTCATGAGCAAAAGTTTGTGTATAAAATTGCAGGGCTGAGTCTTATTGAATATGAGGTCTTTAAGGAGATGATGTATGCACATGAAATCTATGATGATAGGGACTTTTTGAAACCAAAAGATACTTATGGGTTGGTTAATCCTTCTTTAAGTGTTAATGATCAAATTCCTGTTAGCGCAAGGATGCAAAAGAAAAGGCCCAAACCCGAACCCCCTATTGTCGACTCATTTTAGACCAAAATATTGTTCGTAAGTTGTGCTCTCACCAGAATACTTCATGACCGAGAATAAGGAAAAACATTTTCAGCGAATTACGAATTGCAGCATAAGATTTTCAGTTTGATGGAAGTTGTTTAGACTTCAAAGAATTTCAACCCTTTATCCCTCCCAAAAGAACTGGCTCCTTTTCTTGCATTTTTTTAATCAGGGGTCAAAATGTTTTGATTAATTTAGAAAGTAATTCATGTTTTTCAAGCATTAATTAACATATTTTATCAAAGTACATGTAATATCTAAATTTGATAAAATTTTGTCAGAGCCCCTCTCTTTATTAGCAGATGTTTTATGTTGATGCAATGTATTGAAGCCTTTGTGAGACTACTTTTTTTTTTTTTAAATATCAATTGTCCCTGTGACTGTAAATAAATTGTTACTGAATTTTTACTTTTAAACGTAGAAAGTTTGATTTCCTTTTTTTTTCGCGTATGAATAATGGCCAAAGTGCAGAACCATGTATCTTAATTGCGGTGTCTCAAAAATTTCCACCCCTATTTTATTATTTTGAAGAGAAACAAGCCAACTTTACAGGTTGAAATTTATGCAAAATACCTGCCAGAGGAGAAGAAAAAGCAAGGAAGTTTTTAAAAAATTACGTTCAAGGGTTTTCCAAAGGAAGAGTTTCAAATATGGCAGGAAGTATGCAACGTCGCAAATGAAAATACGTGGTTTCGCACTGCGACCATCGTTTTACTTCGTAAATTACAGATGTCTCCAGAAATATTTCCAATGAAATTTTACGAGTTTTCTCATAAAACTTTCCCATTCTAAGAATTTTGCTATCCGATCGTAGATCTCGGAGAAAAATTTAGTGAGGGAAGGATTTTCCCAGAACAGGCAACCTCCCTTCGTTTGAGGCTTACCCTGCCGTGCTGAGGAAAAACGCCATATGAACCTTCGGGCGTTGCCAAATTTCCGTTAATAAAACACGAATTTCATGGTAAACTTATGAGTATTTTCATTGCAATTTTGTAGATAATTTTGTTCGCAATTTCACTTATAGCTCCTGAAAATTTCAAGGAAAAATATTCACAGCTTGTCTCAAAAATGAACATTTTGTGGAAGGAAATGGGCGACTCTCGAATGTTCATACGGCGTTTTTCCTTAGCACGGCAGCACCGTGATCCTGGCGCGCCACGTTGCGCTGTGCCGTTTATCAGCGACTAAAAATAATCGCGAAAAAGTGAGATAGTTACTTATTCGTAATAAAAGTCTGCAAAGTTCAAAAAGTCAGAAGCAGTTTTGACGCGCGCGCGGATTTAGGTAAGCGCCGAATGACGTGGGAGTAGGGAATACATTTGCAAGGTTGCCGGAGTTCAGCCAGATTTGTTTTGCGTCTCGCTGCACCAGGCTCTGCATTGACCGTAATTTTACATTCCTGACCGGGCTTTCTTCTTCATTTTTAGCGCAAAAAGTAAAAATTTGTTGAGAGACGCGCGCTCGAATTTTTCCGAAAGTTCCTAACTTTGCTGCATTCTTCGTTCTCAGATCGAAGAAGCTCAGGGCCGCAGTCTCTTATTTTGGGACGGCAACGTTTTTATTAGGTACATATATAAACAATTGAGGCATTATTCGGAAATTTTACCACGTCGCATTAAAAATCAGTAATACCTAGTTTACTTATTTGGCACAACAAGCAACGTTGGAATTAAGTTACGGTCTATAAGAGGAACAAAGCAAAGCGCCCTTAGTGTCAAATTTGGATGTGACGAACAGTATACAAAGGAGAGGTATCCAGGGTGTCTACCGGTCCCCAATGCCCCCGATTTAGGAAGAGTGTCCCCGATATCCCCGAAATTCCCCAATTTTCTTGTTTAGGTCCCCAAAAAATGACCAAAATCATCCGAAACAGCGGCATTTTCAAATTTTCCCGCCAGCCGCGGCGGCGCAGTGTAACCAAGAATAAAAAAACTGAAGTGTTGCTTCGTTTTTCGATTGTTTTCATCGATTCAACGTGACTTGTAAAATTAGTCGTATAAAATACGCCATTTAACGCTCTAACTAGTTTCCTTTCTCTTACTATTTCGGGGGAAAAAAGTCCCAGATTTTCTTGGAAAAAAAAAAAACACCCCTAAAAGTCCCCGAAAATCCCCAATTTTGGTTTTTATAACTGGTAGGCATCCTGGCATCGATAAGGGCGCGTTTTTGGGCCCACCCTGAATTTCCTCAACCCCACGATTATTTTTCTCACGAAGGGTCAATATTTTACGGAATATGCATAATGATTTGGTCATTTCTTATCGGGTCTAATGTTGGCCTTGAAATGGGTCTAGAGGCCGATTTTTGCGAAGGGTGCGAATCTTGCGGGTTTGCGGTCAAATGCCGAAAAATCCGCGTTTTTCACCGAAATCGGTCTTTAGAGCTATGTTTAGGCCAAAATCAGAACTGAAAAGAGACTGGACATGATCAAATCATGATGCGTTCCGTAAAATATAGACCCTCAGCGAGCGCAAAAATCGTAGAGTTGCGGAAAGTCAGGTAGGGTGGGGGCGGGCCCTAAAATGGCTTGTATCGATACCTCTTCTTTTATATCAACTCCTGGATGCAACTATTCGGGCCCGATGGATGTCCGTGTGGCATACAAACGGGAGTGAAGGCGTTTTGACTTGCCCCGGAACTCATCATTTCACCCTCGGCGCGGCGCACAATGCGGCCCTCTGTGGATAAAAATAAAAATTTCGCAAATCGACATCTGAATAATTTTTTTGAGTTCGTCATCTTATAAATATTTCTGACTCCCAAAGATGGTTCATTTTCAAATTTTTCGCTCAAAACTACTTCAAATTTGGGTATAACGTGGGCGGGAAATGGGTCGAGAATCACTGGTCCATAAGAAATGGGAAAAAGACGTCAACTTCAAATCAAGATTTCTCGCTAAAGAAACGCATAACGCGCAAGGTGGTTGACATTTTCTTAATCCTTAGGTATCCAACTTCAATTCTACCATAAAGATGTTGTATGTTAATTCCTTCACTTTATAACCCTGGTAATTGGCATTAGAATCTGTGTTCCAAAATACCATAGACCTACAGCCGGCTGCAAGATTTCCAATAGCTTCTATAGTCGGCTACACAATTTCTTATAGCCTTTTATAGCTGATGGCGATTAAGCAACAGCCAGGCGATAAAGTGTATGCTAAACGTTACTAAGTACGGATGCTAGGACTTGGTGAGTTTTTGGACTACCGCTCTCTTTTTGGGCCGTAGTATCTTGATTTATTTTGCGAGGAAAGCTCCGTACTTCTGATGGATGCCTGCCATTCCTAATATATTAGAGCGCCTTCAGTTTCGTATGATACTGTGTAATACTTCTGGTGTGAAATAGTTGCTTCAAGCGCCGTGGCACGCAGCGGCGCGGCAGGCGGGCAGCCAGCTCGAAACGCGCATTGGCGCCTACAAACCTAACAGGGATACTTCACGCGTTGCGCAATGCGTGAAGTATCCCTGATAGGTTTGCAGGCGCCAGTGCGTCGCCGCTCCGCTTTGTGTTAGGCTCTAATATTTAATCTGGCGGAGTCAGCGTTTTTCATCTCATGATTTTGAAATGTTTGCACATCCTGTATGGATTATTCTCATTTTAATTGATAAAAAAAAAAAATATGTGTTAAAGGAAAATACAAAGTGTGTCTTGTAAATATTTCTACACAATTTCTTATAGCCTTATATAATCGATGGCGAAAGAGCAACAGCCAGGCGAAAAAGTGTAAATCCCGGCGATAGGAACTGTAGCCCGGCTGCATAATTTTTTATCGCTTCGTATAGCCCGGCCGTATGATTTTCTCCGCATTCTACAGACAGCTATATGATTTTCTGTAGCCTTCTTTAGCCAGCTATAAGAATTCATATAGTATGTTGAAACGCAGCTCTTGTCGCCAATTTTTACCAGGGAAATTGTATTGGGTGCCCCTTGAAGGAAGTTTTCCGAGAAAAGTGTGCACTTTTAAAGCTTCTGCACTCTGTATTAACATCGAAATGAGCTTTTGATTTTTTCACATCTTGTCAGATTCCTCCAGCTGACGCGCTCCACTGATTAGCGCTGATGAAGCGATTAGTGTCTAAAGTCAAAACGCCTTCATATCCGTTCGTATGCAACACGGACATCCACGGAGCCCGAATAATTGCATCCAGTCGTCATAAATGAAATTCGTTCAGTATCGGTGGCATGCGACAAAAACTGAAGCTTCGCGTGTTCCTCTTACGCCTCAACTTAATTCCAGCATTGTCTATCGTACCGATGAAGTAAACCATCGCTGATTTTTAACGCGACATCGTCAATTTTCCGATAAATGAATTATTTGAATGCATTACAACGTAATTGTTGGCACCCGAAATCGAAAAAGAAGAAAGAAATAAAGAAGAAAAATAGGTATTCAGCATCGTGTGTAGAGTCTCCTCCAACCTCCTTCAATGCGCCACCCCTTGTTTTATCCCTTCGAAAAAACTAATTTTGACGCCTAAGTGCGGAATTTTCGAAGAACAATCCGGATGAATCATCCGGACCTCTGAACAGAAATTATGACCCTTAGTCTTTCGAAAGTAGGAATTGCGACAAGAAATCTGTAACATCAAAAGCCTACATACTTGTATATGATTTTTCTTGGGTGCAATGGCGAAACTATAGCACAACCTAGCTTGGTACATATGTATATTAGTGAAAATTAAATCGTGTTCGCTCTTTCCTACCTGAAATGCGGGTCGTGACTAGTTTTTTTCAAGCCGTCAAGATTAGCTCTATTCAAAATATGTAATACTTAAATTTTTTCCAAAAATGTTTCGTAAGATTGTCATCCAATGTGAATCAAGTGCCGTTGACGAAGTAGCCCAATACATTGTAATTATGTACGTAGTACAAAAAAATTGCGCCACTGCATCCGCACGCTGTGTATTTTGCCTATCTACGAATTGAAGGGGCTCCTATTGCTGACATTCATTGCAACAAAATTGAGTTTAGTTCCAATTTGTATCCGCATCGCAAACTGTTAAACTCTCCTCTGATTGTCTGGTCATTTGATGTCTGTCACAATTCGTCAAATGATATAAAAATATTGACGTGGTAAAAATAATTACATTACGCATCACGATAAAAACACATACACATGACCACAATTTTAGTGCAAGCAAATGCGACATCGCTCCAATATATTTTCCGCTAGTTACCGCTCGGGTACCACTTTGTTCAAGCGTTTCTCTCTCGAAACCAGGGTCTGTCTACGACGCTAAGCGGCGAACTCCTTCATTTCAAAGGGTAGGTAAAGCGGTTTCTTACGCGTTGAAATAGTCGCATCCTCAAAAACCGACAGGATCTAGTTACGATCTTCAGGGCCTTTGAGCTTCTCGATTGAATATGATTGTGATGATTCGTTGCACAATGCTCAATGCGTCAACCAAAAACTGTCGGTTATAAAAAGAGAACACAGTGGAGGTCTCTTTTTCAAATGAAATGAAATAAAATAAAATGTATTCCTATAAATGATAATGTGAAATTGCAAAATCAGATTTTTTAGAAATGCCTAATTTGAAGGAAAAATTAGGTTTCTTTTTAGTATGGCAGATGGTCGGTTACCCAGAATGGTATTTGATTGGGTTCCTTCCGGAAAAAGGCGGCGTGGACGTCCAGTAAAAAGGGAGTTGAGGAGGAGATCAGAAGGTGTCATTTGCCTGATGATGTATGGGAAGATTGATTCCAACGCCAATTGGGAGTCGCAGAGCGCGAGGCTGCGCTATAAAAGCGGCTTTATGTATGTATTTATGTATGTACTGATAGTTCCCAATCATTAAATTTGACACGGAGCCACCTTAATACTTACTAAACACTCAGTATATTTTCCTTTCAAATATATATATTTTTTTTTTCATCAATGTTAATGAGAATTATCCATGCGGAGTGTGCAAACATTTCAAAATCCTGAGTTTAAAAACGCTGACTCTGCGAGTTTAAATATTAGAGCCAAACACAGAGCGGAGCGACGTGCTGCCAGCGCTACTCGCGCACTGGCGCCTCCAAACCTAACAGGGATACTTCACGCATTGCGCCATGCGTGAAGTATCCCTGTTAGGTTTGTAGGCGCCGATGCGCTAGTCGCCCGCGCCCGCCGCGCCACGGCGCTTCAAGCAACTATTTTGCAACAGAGGTGTTGCTCAGTATCATACGAAATTGAAGGCTTTCCAACATAATTAGAACGACAGGCATCCTTTAAGAGTACGGTGTTTTTCTAAAAAAAAAATCAAGACACGATGACACAAATAGAAATCGGTAGCCAAAAACTCACTAAGTTCTAGTTCTAGCATCCGTATTGAGGTTTAGCATAATTTTTGAATTTCATTAGAGAATAAAGGGACTCGATTTAGACAGAAACATTTTTAAGTATGCCCCTACATTTTTGTCAGTTCTTAAGCGTGTACAATTTAAAGGCAAATGAGTCGATTAATGAGGTATTTTAATGAGGTCAATAAGAACGCAAATTGGAAGTTTTATGGTGCAATTTTTGTCGCACGAGATAGTGAGATTGATTACTAAAGTTGAAAATTGCGTACTTTCATTTAATTTTTTCAATATTTCCGGTTATATTTTATTTTTTGGATTAAGCCTGACCTAAACGACTCCTAGAAATTTTTGTGCGAATATTCTCCAACAAATGATAAAAAGTTCACGGAACGCCCCCCCCCCATTGTTGGTTAGTTTTCCATAAACGAATAAAATAAGGGTTGAGATTCGCAACGTCACAATAGTAGGTATGCATCTTTCGACTTTAGCCATGGATATTGTGTTTGATGATAGTGAGTCATAGATGATAAGTTGATGAATGAGTTTTTAGTGGGGAGTTTCCTACAAGTTGGCAACAATGAGAGTGGTCCAAGTTCATTTTTCTCGCGGACTGGTGGGAGGATAAACGCGGTAGATATGGACATCTTTTGCACGAGTTATCGTCGCTTCGTTAGGTAATTACGGGAAGAAAATGACTTTCCCACCCATTGAATAAAAGTCCTCGTCAAATATTGTGTTATACCGGTGAATGACAAGAAAACAACAGTTTAAGCTAGCCTTTTTTATTCTTTGCTGAAGTGGTTCATACTCAATTTTTGCTCATGATTTATGTGTATCCGTGTGCCTGCGTGGAGTTTAAGTCACATCACTCCTGACATTTATCAAAGGTGAGTCGTCGACTGGTACCTAATACTAGTTAGTCGTATCTATTTTTGTCACTGACAGCTTATAAGGCTCTATAGATTTTCAGTATTGATTTCTCTTGTATATAATAATGAGCGTTACGGGTAATGTAATATAGCCGGGTAATGTCGGCATTAACCAGTCCTCCTAGGTAATTTCGACATAACCCAAGGAAACTGAATTATTTCAATTCCGTTAGTATTTAAATTCCGTTAAATTACTTTTATCTTAAATCTCCATTATTTAAAATTAATTTTTGTGTTTTAAAATTGTAAAATAAATTTAAATTTTTCCGCACTTCCTCACAAAGCTCATTCAAATTGAAAATAAATAACTCTACAGTATTCACGTCTTTTCAATTTGATTATGAAAATTTGAAACCTCATATATTTCACTCACAAATCACCAAAAATATGTATTTTTAATCTAATTTTAGACATTACCCAGGAGGACTGGTTAATGCCGACATTACCTGGGTAATGACGACATTACCCGGCTGTTTTACATTACCTGTAACGTAAGTCTAAGCAAATCATTTTATAGCTGTTTTTCACGGCATTAAATGTACTGATTTGATATCTCTGAGTCTGTTCGGGAATAAATAGATTTTGTGACCTATGTCAATAGCAGACTTTTTTTCTTCCTTTTGGAAATTTTATGCACTTTTGATGGTTGAAAGATCAAATTTATTCTTCCTACAGTAATTTTAATTTTTGCTCCTGGATTATAATACAATCGAGGGCATCCTTCCCTTCATTTTCTTTAGGTTTTGTTAGAGTCGGTCTGATGTGTGTGCGTCCTTCACATGAGCTCCGATAAAGATTTTTAGCGGGAGCGTACAGACTTAACATTCATTTGAGAATTTGACGGTATGAAGCGGTCACATACCGTCAAAAACAGAACGAGCATCATTTGGTTTGTCTGATGTGGCGTTGCTAGCACAGAGCTCGTAAAGTTGTAGTGTAAATGGAAGAGCTGGCGCCACCTATAAGCATTTTCCACGGAATCCCGAGACGCCTGTGTTACGCCGGGTCACTATTTCGGTGCATAATCGATTGTTTTCGATACACGGGGACCCGGTCATCTGATATAAACAAAGAGGATAGGAATTAATACGTACTGTACATCATCGCCATTTTGGATCGAAAATGTATCGAAGACGTGACCGAAGCTTGGCGCACACCGGGCTCGGAACTCGTCGACCGGAACATGACGCCAACTCTACTATTTACATTACAACTCTATGTACTCTATAGTTACTAGAAACGCGGACTGAATCATTCAATAGAACCGTGACAGTTATATTGAAGTAGGAAAAAAGAGGCGGGGGGGGGGGATACATATGTTTGTGAGGCTGCTTTATCAACTTAAATCATAATCTGTGAGGAAAACCCATCCCAGTGATGATTAATACGCCAATTTCGAGTCTTTTTTCGTATCCACGCGGAGACTTTGGTCATAATTTATTATGAAACATACCATTTTCACTGGAAGTAATATCACGATAAAATGTTAATATTGATTTACTATAATTTGGGTAAACATTCTAAATTTTGCAGGTCAAAAAGCGCTTTTTCATCATTGATTTTTTTTTTCTTGGAAGAAAATACCAAATAACAAGCCGGAATCTGAGATACAGGACATATAAGTTGATCAAAAACATCGAAACCTTACTATTTTCCCGATTATACTGATCAAAATGGTGATTCTTGTCGATCCATGTCCCTCGCCATGTTTTATGGTTTTACCTCCTCGGCAATATTCCTTTTTTCAGTGTAACTATAAACTCTCCGACCTTTCAACCATTGATTTTTAGTTGTTTTTACCAACGTCAAGAGCTCTATCCGGTCGGTTTCCGAGATTTTTATGGCTGCTAACCGGTATCGATCTCTAAATGAGTCTCTTTGTATTAGATTTTCGAAATATAACCCAGGTTTCTTAAAACTCACTAAGTGGTCTCTGAAAGGACGCAGGGTGCCGTTGTATGTGCAGTGCGTAGCAGCCATTAGGAAATCCCTCGGTTTACTTTGACTTTATCAAATTCTTTACAGTTTGTAGGTGTGATCTAACACAGGGCATGTGCAAAAATTGTACGAATGACCAGATAAGCTGCGTGTATTTCATTAAAGATTCTCATCTTTCCTTGCATCATGTATGTTTAATATTCCTCGTATCACATGGTTGCGCAGGACTTGTTGCCTCGGTTATTACTGCCGAGTCAACGAGTCCGGAGCAAAAAATAATCAAAGAAACCGACTGATTTTACTCAACATAAACATGCCGCTGCGCTAAGAAAAAACGCTGTACAAGCCTCCGGAAGCCGGAAATTTTTCTTAGATAAAAACAATTTCCAGAGAAAATTTCGGATACTTTTCTTCCGATTTTTCAGAAGCCGTAATTCACAACTTAATCCAAAGTATATGATGATTAAAAAAAATGTTCCCAGCTTTCCTAAATAAAAACATTTTAAAGAGGGGACTTTGGCCACATTTGGATGATCATACGACGTTTTTCCCGAGCGCCGCAGTGCGATTGTCGAATCGAACATCAATATACTAAATAACGATCACATAGAATTTGCATGACAATGAGACTGTTATTTTTTTCCTCCAATCCGGCTCCTATAATGAACTCCATAATTGGACCGTTGTCCATAAAAAAGAGCAGTCTCCTAACCTCCGCCAGAGGCCGAGGGTCAGAAGTATGAATAAGTCCGTTCACCAAAATCAGCAGGACAATTATTTCAATATTTGAAAAGTCAAAGAGCATCAGTGTATCAGCCCCTCTTGAAAATGCTGGTGAAAATCGCGCATTACCCCTTTAATCCTGTTTTTTTTTACCCTAAATTGGTAAAGAGTCATAATTAATATGCTGCTGTATTGACGGAAAACGCCCTATGAACATTCGAGTGTTACCAAATTTCTCCTGATAAGAAATGCATTTTGGAAGAAAGTTATGCATATTTTTCCTCAAAATTTTCAGATATTATGGATTGAACTGATATCAACATTTTTTTGAAAAATTGGAAGAAAATTATTCATAACTTTTCCAATAAATTTGTATTTTACCTAAGAAAATTTGGCAACGCCTTAAGGCTCATACGGCGTTTTTCCTTAGAACGTCATTATGAGACTCCTGATCGTGCCGGCAATTTATTCGCCGGCTAAAATTGATTTTTACCGGTGTAAGTGCGGCAGCAGTGAGAGTTGGCACATTTGTGATGCCGAGTGGGGCAGAAGGTCACGCTGGACAACGCAACTTGCTCGAGTTGAAGAGCAGGAAGTGAAAAAGAAGAGCTTTCCCAACCTGAATCGGTCAGCGCGAGCAACACTGCCGTGTTACGGAAAAAAGACGCAAGTGCAGTCTGGGATGAGCCTCGAGACACGTAACAGCATGTGCTAACCGTGGTGCATATAGAAATGCCCTCACGGCTCTCTTCTGTAACACGGCCATATGAGAGCACAGCTTCGACGCACAGGTGCACATATCACTCAGCGAAAAAAAAGTTGGGTAAAGCCGATCCGTATGCTCTGTATAGAGGATAAAACTGCAAAAACACATATCTCACCTGCGGTGTTTCAAAATCTCCGCTTTTATTTCATTTTATCGAAGGTGAACAAATCTATACTATCTCTAGAAATGTCGACGGCGAAATTCTCAAACCACGTGTCATGTTTGCGGTGTTTTAAAAGCTCCGATCCTATATTTTATTTTGTTAATGGAGAAAGGTATCAACATAGTTCTTTGTAGTTTTCACAGAAATTTCCTTGCAAAAAGGAGAAGAACCACGACAGTTTTTAAGAATTGCCGTTGGGTAGTTTTCCAATTAAAAAATAAAGTATGACAGGAAGTTTGCAACGTTGCAAACCGAGATACGTGGTTTTGAAGTTTCACCGTCGATATGTTTCACACAAAGAGGAAAAACTGGGGGAGTTTTTAAGAACAAATGTTGATTATTATTTCGTCGAAAAAATATGGTAATATAGGACAGGAGGTCTGCAGCGTTGTGAATCGGGATACGTGTTTTTTCAGTTTCACCATCAACGCGTTGATATGGTCAGTTAAACAAGACATCGGTTAAACGAAGTATAGTGTGCGGTATGGACAAAAGAGGCACCATAATTTTTTGCATTCAATTTTTCAAGTAGCCACATGGCCAAATTCTGGCACTCTCTCAGGAGCGAGAAACGTGAAAGTATTTCCCGAGTATTTGCGTGGGTGAAAGTGAAAATTACGTGAGTAAACTAATACCACGGTTGATCGATGAACAGTTTTATATGTAAAAATAAAAAAATTGGGAAGATTTTGTTTACATAAAAATAAATTGCAAAGCTGTCAAACAAAGTCGTGCAATTTTCTCATGAAAATATGACCGGCAAAATTGCTGAGAAAATATTGTTACAATGTTGCTTTACAATGTGGATATGATTGCATGAATTATGCTGCCGGAACGTTGATGCAACATCACCACGCATTGGTTGGAACTATTTTCAACAATATTATAGCCACTATCATTTCAGGGTGGGACGAAATTATCAAAAGGCTGTAAAGAAAATACCTTATCACTTTTTATTATTTAGATTTTGGAAAAGTTTCTACTGTAATTCAGCATCTTTTGATGATAAACCCGACTAAATATTGCTAGTCATCCCTTCTTTCCACGATATTTAGAGCAATTTTCAAGGATAACAAAAGCAATTGAATTCAATTCTAACAAAAAATGGGAGAGATATGTGGGTTATAACAATTTAACATCTGCAAAAATTTTAAAATTTTTTACACAGCTGTACGGTGCAATTTTCAAAATTTTACAATGCAATTTGCACAGTTTTTCAATCTGAACCAAATTTTATCGGATTTACACCGAGCCTTCAACCTAAGTGTGTTTTTTTTTAAAAGTAAAATTCATGTGTAAGTACACAGCGCAGCTTTCGTATCATGTGGAATACGTATGTCTGAGGAAAATAGCAGGAGAATCGGTGTTGTAATTTCAATATATCGATCGATCTACCATTTAAAACTATGGAAAAAGATAGATTAACAGGGTGTTCGCAACGAACACCTCAATAATCGATTCTTTACCATAGCTTCAAATGGGGAAATAGCGATATATCGCAAAAGCACGCCACGCCACTGGTTTCACTCTCAAGAAGACCAGCTTAAAAAATTGGATGTTCCAAGTACGATCAGCAACATAGAAGGGAATTCGCTTGGGAACTGTACCTAAATCCCGCAAATTACGGACTCGTCGTTCATCCAGAACTGATTTGCATGATAATAAGAGCTTAATTTCGGTCTTCGCATGTCTTCATTGTGGCCTCCCCGCCCACGCTGATGTTCCATGCACCTGAAATCAATTTTTTTTTCCCGCGATTCTATCAGCCGTGGGAAGTTCATAATCTACGAGAAATAAATTTTTTCTTGGATTTTAGATTTTGGCCTAATTGTTTGCCTTTTATAATTTTTCAATTTTTATAATTTTCAGGGACAAGTCGGCGTTTGCTCATCAAGATGAGGCTATTGGCTGTTTTTTTACTACTGAAATTATCTGCAGCTGCCGACGGATTCTCGCGTGAGTGTTATTCTCAGAGCTCTTCGTTGACACGTTGGAGTATCTCCGTGGAGAGAGATATTTGATTTTTCCCTATGTTGTAGCATACTGCACGATTTTCAACACTTTATCGGCACTATGAACACTTATTTTCTATACGAATTAAACTTTTTCGAAAACTGATTATAGTCAGATGACCTAATTTTTTATTATTCTTTACGCACAATGGCCATTTCGGGCAGGCCGCCCATCTTCAGGGTGAGTCATCTAACTATAATCGGTTTTCGAAAAAGTTTAATTTGTATAGAAAATAAGTATTTGATTTTTATTACCTCTCTTAGCGGTTCACTTGATTTTTTAACTACCCCTAAATAATCATGATGGGAAAATGAAAAAAACGAATAACCGCAGGGAGCCCAGGAACACTTGATGATCGCTCGCCTCACAGCGTGTCTCTCACTCGATTGAGTTCGCCTTCAATAACCGTGACGGCAATATTAGTGGCTTACCATTGGCACGAAGTAGTTCCGTTTCTTTCGCTCCGTACAAGCAAGGATTTCACACACATTATTGTGTTTCATTGTTTCTTGTAATCAATGATAGGATCATGAAAGGTTAAAAAAGATATCTCATCCAATAAATACAAGGCGAAAATGAAAAAATTAACATAAAGAGAGCGAAAAAATAGGAAGAAAGAGATTCAAATGACTTAAACTTTTTAACTGGCATCGCTTTACAGTTTTCAGGTTGCCTCTTGAGATGACATAAAAAAAAAAAAAAAAAAAAAAAAAAAAAAAAAAAAAAAAAAAGATTGTGCATGTGAGGAAAGTAAGATCAGTTTCGGCAATTGGAGTATCTTCCTTGAAAGAGAACCCAAACTGTGAGAAAAAAGAAGTCTGAAGATTGACGTCTTCGTCTCATTTAGTTTGAGTATGTTTTGGGCAAAGGGTACGAGACTACTTCCAGACAAACTATTGGCAATTAGGTTAGATAAGTGATTAGATCGATTTCAATTAACTTTCAGGATAATATTTAAGAGAAGTGCCTAACTTATGATGTTCTTTTTTTCTCGCACTAATGTGTAACTATATATTTACATTTATTCTTTTTTAAGTAATAATGATGAAGATTGTTTGGCGGAAGTTAAGTCTCTATCTAAACCTACGTTTCAAACAATATATCCCATCCCATTATTTAGTTACCATGACAGGCCGTCATGTTAACTCATGACGAATCTCCATGACAAGTCATCATGATATAACATATGAATCTACATTCATCTTCGTATTTTTCAGTTCCTTCAGTTTTTAAACAGCCGGAGCCACCATGCTCACTGAGAAGATGTATTCAGTCAGGTAAGGGCATTATTCATTTGAATTTTAAGGTTTTAAGAGGATGTTGATTTGGTGTAAAATATTTTGAGTCATTCATGAGTAAGTTTTATTTTTGAAAATGATATAAGCACTATACAAAAAAAAAAAAAGTCAGTATCACTTGCAGAGGATCTGATGAGTTTCTTGTACTTAAGAATATTGACTCAACAAGTTTTGTCCAGGGATGACCAATAAGACAGATTTAACGATCAATATTATGCTTAAAATGTGCAACTCTATTCCAATCATTTATCATTATGGTTATATAATGTAGATTGGAGGTGTGCATTTGTTAATATCTATTTCGAGGCTCAAGTTTATCAAAAATAACTTTGACCTTGATCGTATTTCCATTTCAAGACTAGGCAAATAATGATAAAAAATAATTTCATAATATTCGCGGAGAGCCAAAGGTGTAAGTTTTGAAATTAAAGGGAATAGTTCAGATAGTAAACTCAACGAATATCAAAATATTTGATCGATCTATAAGGTCAAACATGTGAGCAACTTATCCGTTTGATCCGTTGTCAAAATATCAAATGATGCAGTAGCGTGGCGTGCTTAGCGATATATCATTCAAACCTACGAAAATTCGGACTTCAGAACGAAAAAGGGACAAATCTGCCAAAACTTGCTGAAATAAAGTTAACACCACATGAATCACAGCTACTGCCCATGGGTGCATTCGAATAATTTGATGAAGACAACGCATGGCATTAATCAGCTGCTATTTTTAGTGTGAATACTCAATAATGGACCACTAGACAAGGTACGAATTTCAGCATTCTGATACATGTTTCTTAACCAAAATCTCACGTAGAATACGATACAAACAACGAAAATTACCGAAATCAACTCCTTACGAAGATATTTAATGATTCTTGATGCGTGAATTCAAACCACCCACTCATGAAAACTCAATGCTCTACGTGATTCACATCGCGCGCTCGTTATCATGAACGTCTCAGCAATATAAAAATCTGGCAACCTCAGTCTTGACGCTTTGGCTCAGGTATAGCAAATTGCTTATAGTTTGAACAACACATGGTGGGAAATGAACATTGCTCGATTGAGAAGCTTGCTGAAACCATTGTAGTGCGCGATTTGACTCACGTAGAGCTTTGAGTTTCTTGTGAGCGGTCAGTTCAAATTCCTCGTAACCAGTGTGAAATAAAAAGGTTGATATCTTCGTTAGGAGTTAGTTTCACTAACTTTTGTTGCGCGAATCGTGTTCTACGTGAAATTTTGGTCAAGAAACATGTATTAGAATGCTTAAATTCGTACCCTGTCTAGTGGTCCATTGCTGAGGTGAGGCAGTTCGACAGAATCGATGATTCTTTTGACTTTTTATCACGGAATTGCATTCACTCCCTACTTTCAAAGAGATATGGTGCGCTCTGATAATAATTAAACTGAACCACTGTTCCAGCGGCGTTCATACTCCAATCGATGAATCAATCGGTGAATCCGTGCGAAGATTTTTTCTCATACACGTGCGGCAACTACAACAAGGAAAACCCGATTCCTGATTCTCAGATTATGAATGATTTAAATCGCAGGAAGGAACGGGAGTACGAATTGAAAGCGAAAGGTACTCTGTTAATCAGCAATATTCTTAAAATATTTTCAATATTCTCAGGACGCGCTCACGACGAAAGAATTGAAAAAATCAATGGCTAAAGTCGGATAATGCTTTTCTCCAATCACAACGATGCAAATGTCCACTTTGATAATCTACAAATAAAATAACCGAACAGTTTTTTCTCTTTGAATTTATTTGTGAACGTGTTTCACATGTGTTCACAGAAAACTTCAACTGTTGTAAAACTACCATAAAAATTAAAATTGTTGAAAATCTGCCCCCCCCCCAAAAAAAAAAGAAAAAAAAAGAATTCCAAACTCACTATGTCGAAGGAAATTCGACTGCTTCGCAGCCCGTCCCATTATTATCCAGTCACTTCCCGTTACTAATCAGATGACACAATCTGATAAAATAATTAAGTTATCAATCTAAGAGTAGATAAGTACGTACTAGTTTAGAGCAGCGACTGTATGGTACACTTGTCGAAAGAATCCTGTATTTTATTTTTATTTGTATGTTGATACAAATAAATGAATTAAAAAAAAAAAAAAAAAAAAAAAAAAAAAAAAAAGTTGAATGATTTTTATTATTAATTTTTTTTTTTTTTTTTTATTTCAGCCATGCTCCAAGAGGGCGAGTTAGATGAGGACCCTGAATCCGTCAAAAAGGCTAAAATGCTCTTCCACGCTTGTACAAATACAGGTAAAATTCTTCAACATTATCGCATTTTATGGCTAAGAAAATTAATGCTGTGATGTGATGGGTCTTTTCTTTTTTTAAAATGTAAATTGCTTTTTACGCATATTCCCAATGGACCAGTAGACAAGGCACGAATTTCAGCATTCTCATACACGTTTCATAATCAAAATTTCACGTAAAACACGATGCGCACAACAAAAATGATCGAAATCAACTCCTTATGAAGATATTTAATGATTCTTGATGCGTGAATTCAAACCACCCGCTCATGCAAACTCAATGCTCTACGTGACTCACATCGCGCGTTAAACGCTATCATGAACGGCTCTGCGAAATAAAAATCTGGCAACCTTAATCTTGACGCTTTAGCTCAGCTATAGCAGGTTGTTTATAGTTTGAACTGCACATGGTGGGAAATGAACATCGCTTGATTGAAAAGCTTGCTGAAACCGTTGTAGTGCACGACTTGACTCACGTAGAGCTTTCAGTTTCTTGTGAGCGGGCAGTTCAAATTCCTCGTAACCAATGTGAAATAAAAGCGTTAATATCTTTGTTAGGAGTTGATTTCGGTAATTTTCGTTGCGCGAATCGTGTTCTACGTGAAATTCTTGTCAAGAAACATGTATTAGAATGCTTAAATTCGTACCTTGTCTATTGGTCCATGAAACATCTTCATATTGTTGGATCTGCATACCGTACGTCACACGACAGTACTGAGTGCATCGCGCAAGTATTATCAATGTTTTTAGTCCGCCTTGTTTACCTGTCATCGACTCCAAGCTGCGGACGTAGTAGAAATTGCATTTGGCTGAATTGAAGGGGCACGAGACATGAATAGATTTGCAGTCATGCGCTTTCGATTTTTCTCGTTCTCCTTTACATCTCTATGATTCAGAAACAAGCAGATACTATGGTATACTGATTTTTTTCAGAAAATTTTATCGGTATTTCATGGTGAATATTTTCACCTGTTCTATATTTGAAAATTGAAGATCTTAAAGCGAAAAACATGTTCAGGCATCATAGCGAGAGATACAGGAACGAAATATTTACGTTTCTACGTTCACTCCTAAAAATCCACAAATGATAATGCATATGCACGTGCGGCAAAAGGGACATAATTGGAATAACACTGTCAAAATAACAAATCTGATATCTGACAGTAGTCTATGTTTTGAGTTATTGGAGTGTATTTCATCGATTTGCAGGTTATGTTGATAAAATATTATATTTAGCACTGTCACTTTTCGTCAACCGTAAGTTACCTCGAGTTGTCGTAGCTTGTTTCCAAATTCAGTGATTGGGAACTGCCCCCAAATGCGGGTAATTTGAAAAAGCGTGCTCCGAAATTTGCGAATTGCGCATTAAGGGGAGGATTTCAAATATTTCTAATATGACCAATGACCATCATGATTTTAGTGTCATTTTACCTCTATAATTCATTTCTTACGGCTGTGTCTCTTGCGTGCGACGACTGATTTATTCGGAAAGTTTTAATTTAGCTGAATATTTCCCTCTGTTTCAGCCGCAATCGAAGAAGAAGGACTTGACCCAATAGCCAACGCCCTGGAAGTGGCTGGATTGGATCTAATTCCTTACACCCCACAGGACTTCTTCGACTGGTTGGGGGCGAATGTGAATGTCCAGAAGAGACTGGGTAAGGAGATCCTCCTTCAGTTCACCCTCGTTGCCGACCCCCAAAACAAAACCTTGAAACATCTGGGGTTGGGCATTCCCGGTGATTGGACATTCGTGACGTAAGTTTTTCATTCTTCCCTTATTCAGCAATATCGCACTTAAGATGATTCGACGCATACCATTTTTTGGGTCAGAGCGGCCTGCGATAAATCGCATCGATTCATTCCATTGTCATTTTTTTTCGAATTTTGAGATCGCACTTCTGTTATCATGAGTCTAAAGAATTTATGTACCAAATTTGAAAAAAAAATTCAATGTAATAAAGGCACGGTTTTTTTTAGAGGACCAACCGGACAGCATGCAGTAAACTGCCGTGCTATAGAAAAACGCCGAAAAGCCTGCAGACGTAGCCAAATTCCCTGAGATGAAACTCCAAATCTTCAAAAAAAAAAACTTGTGTACAATTTTTTTTATTGTCTCTGATAATTTCATTCGCAATATACTTCAAATAGTCTAAAAACTTGAAAATAATATTCATAAATATTCTAAAAAATTAAATATTCATCGGGAGCAATATGGCACATCACAAGTGGCACAATATGGAACAAGTCAATGAGAGAAGTCGGACAAAATGTGTAAACTTTAAAAGCTCATAACGCCGTTAATACAAAAAGTTGAGTTTTTAAAAATGGCTCCATTGGTTTTTTCGTAAATTTTTTTTCAAATAGAGACAATTTTTTTCGTGAGAGGCGCCCTTGGATATTAAAAATTTGACGAAATAAACATGGAAATTTGCAGTTTTAGTAACAAACTTCATGTCCAATACCTTCTATCGACACAATCAGTGGCATGACGTCCTTTGCGATGTATCGATTGATCTGCCATTCAAACCTCTGGAAAAGGATCGACAAACAGGGTGTTATCAGAGAACATCTTTATAATCGATTCTTTACCATAGCTTCCAATGGGGGAACATCGAAAATCGACCATTCACGCCTCGCCACTCACTGGAAAAAAAAAAAAAAATTACATTGTATCTAGAGTCCAGACTCTTGAAAACATTGACAATAAAATAGACTCTTGATTCAATCAGATTTAAGCTTAAATCAAAAGAAAATTTGCTCAAATCAAGAGGCTTGGCTTGATTTAAGCTTAAATCTGATTGAATCAAGAGTATTTTTTCTTGTCGATGTTTTTAAGAGTCTAGACTCTAGATCCAATGTGTTTTTTTTCCAATGCTGGTCTCGATTGACTGCTTACCGGTTCGATACGGTAAGGGAGATGTTCATGGGTGCTTTTCCGAATGTTTGCAGGCAGCCCCACCATCGGCACGAAAGAACTTCGAACTTGGGGAGGCGGTCGCGGTCGGTGGCGAGAGAATCGAGGACGGATGCACCCGATGTCGACGTGAAGGAGTTCCTGGAGCAGGAGACCTACCATGACGAGATCGACTTCGCCAAAAACGTCCTCGCCCATTTCATCCGCTCCGCCTCGGAGAAGGAGATCAGCAAATCCCAGATGAAGAAGATGAAGAAGGCTGTCGCCGATGCGGTCGTCGTTGATCACGCTGTTTCGGTAAGAGAGACGCTTATTCCGCCGTGCTAAGCAGTGGCGTGGCGTGCTTTGCGATATATCGATTGTTATATCATTTAAACCTATGGAAAATGATCGATAATCTGGGTGTTCGCAGCGAACACCTTATAATAATCGATTCTTTACCACAGGTTCAAATGACAGAACAATCGATACATCGCAAAGCACGCCACGCCACTGGTGCTAAGGAAGAACGCCGTATGAACATTCTAGGTTTGCCACATTTCCCTCGATAAAACATGAATTTTTGACAACATTCATGCATATTTTTCCTTGAAATTTTCTGATATTTTAGATTAAATTGCGTACGAAATCGTCTGAAAATTTTGGAACTTAATATTCGTGATTTTCCCGGTAAATTTGGTTTTTATCGGCGGAAACTTGGCAACATCTGATGGCTCATACGGCGTTCTTCTTCAGCACGGCAGTATTTTAGACCCGTGTATGAAAAATAAGGAATAAGGGTGGCGATAGAGGGTTTTAGAAGAGATCAGGGAGAGCCAACTCCCTGAGGTGCCTTGGGAGGGTAGGGGACTTTGGCGGCTACGTGTCGCAGAGCGCTACAAAGCGCTGTAAACGCAGCTTATGATGCGTACATTTAATTAATTACGGCAATCAGCAACTAGGCTGTTTACGTCGGAGACCATGAATTTATTTTACGTTTTCAAAAAAGAGCTTGAAAATTTCGGTAATTACTAAGGGTCGTTGGAATTTAAAGGATGGGTGTTTGGAGGGAAGTAATTTTAAATTTTGATACGTGTAGCATAGATATTTGGGCAAGAAAGCAAAATATGGTCGATTGCTAGGGGAGAATGTTGACATAAATGGCAAAATGGAACGAGAAATCTTGAAATTAAATGTGAGTGAGAGAAAAAAGCACAGCTGATTCGTAATCTTGCAAATTAAGTCCATATCAAAATTGTATGGTCACATTAGTCGATTGTAAGGGGAGAATAATGACATACAGGGTAATATGGAATGGGAGATCTTAAAATTCAATGTGTGTGAGAGAAAAAAAGTACAGCTGGTTCGTAATCTTGCAAAATAAGCCCATCTCACAATTGAATCCGTGTTAATGAAAACACACCAACTCGGAAAAATGAGAAGACAAAAAAAAGAACTGCGCGGTAGGTGAAGAAGCTGGTGTTAGAAAGAGCGTTTTGGTGCCGAAGAACAAGTATTTTGGGACGCTTTGAAGGCTCAAGCTTACATGGGTACGCCATCTACAATGATTTTTACAAAAATCGGTCATCTTTGATGAAATTTTGGCATTTTTAAGTCCCCGAGTTGGTGTGTTTTCATTCTCACGAAATCAATTGTGACATGGCTCTCTCCATGGATAGGACCAATAAACGAAAGGGAAGGAATAACAAAAGAAAATGAGTGCTATAAATGTAGCTTATGCGAGTATTATGTCGATGGCAAAACTGCAAAATGACGTATGTCCATTGCGGTGTGTCAAAATTGTTGCTCCTATTTTTTAAACGAAAAATGTTTGATATGTTGTTCATTTGGGAGGGAACTGATATTTTCTGCAAACTTTACAAATTAAGCGCTAGGATGCTTCTCACGATAGGACGCACCGATGTGTTATTTATGTTATCAGCATTTATCATTTCAAGGTTGTTGTCTTCCTTTGAAATTCTCTTCTGAGTGCGTAACTAACAGAATAGCATTTTAATTTTATGTTATAGTATTTACTAGGAGTTTATTTCTGAATGTTGCTTCATTTTTTTTCTCGGGGGTTAGCGATTGCAAACGAAATATGATTTGCCAGACGATGAGCCAACAAAGCACACTCTGAAAGAGTTGCAGACGATTCTCGATACTGCGGACAGAACAAGATCGAAAAGCCCGGTAGGTAAGCTCTACCATTCATTCATCATTGTCCTTTAACTCCTTGTAAGAAAAATCATCTGCTAAGAGAGGTACTTTTGAAATATGCCAGGAGAATTTTCAGCATTTTTTGGAAAAAATCACTTAGTATGACGCTGGTTTTTAATTTTTGGCGAAGATCAGGAATGTTCAAACACTACTTTTACAGGATTCTTCCTGAAAATTCTTTATTTTTTCTCATTTCAACACTGAATTTTCGATGATTTGGGACTGATCCGGGTTTATTTTCTCTCTCTCATTCTTTTAATTTATCTAAAGGTATGCTGTCATATGCTAGGGAAATACGCCGTGAGAAAATTCGAGAGTCGCCAAATTTCCTCCGGAGAAACGTTCATTTTTGAGGAGTTTTGAATATTTTCTCTTGAAATTTTTAGATAATCTAGATTCGATCGAGAATAAAAGTCACTGAAAAATTCGAAGAAATATATTTTCATTTTTCCCTGAAAATTCAAATTTTATCGAAGGAAATTGGGCAACGTCTGAAGGCTTTTGCGGCGTTCTTCCTTAGCACGGAAGTATAATATTCGGTTTAAGAGCGAGGGAACTTAGTTGGAATCGTCGCTTCTACTAGCAGTAAGTAAATGTAGGTGAGAATTAATATGAATTAATTTTCCAAGATCCATGATACTTTTTCAAATGCCAACGCAGACATTCAGCATAAACTGTTGACAGTTCATGATTTTTAAACAGTATGAGGTTGCATCAGACTTGTTTTAAAACAACTTACCTGATTAATTTCTAACTTTGAAGAAAAAGCTTCATTAATGAAGACTTTTGTTAGGGAATTTGCTTTAAGGAACAAACACTGACATTTTAAAAACCTGTATGAAACCGTACGCCCATTGTATTTTTGCAGATCAATTTGACTCGATACTTTACGGAAATGTTCAAAGACGTCGAGAACCTTACATTGCATCTCACAGATGATACTCCAATCATGGTTACCAGTCTTGATTATTTGCTGCAAGTATCCAACTTGACGAAAACAGTTAGCCCTAGAAGGCTAGGTAAGATTTTGCATCGTACCTTGTAATGATATAGAGAGACTTTGTAGGACATTCAGTATGAGCTTGGTTCACCCGGTCGGTCTGTGGGCTGATTATTGAAATTGATAGACAAAGCTATAGACAAAGGAGACATAGAGTATATGGAGCTACCCCATTGCTTGAAATGGAATGTTCCTATAGACCAAGGGAGAAAATGATGGACCAACTATTGGGTCTCTCATGGGTTGCCCTTAGTTAGTCTATTACCTACCTCCTTTGTCCATTGCAACTACTTGCTACCATCAATAGGATCCATCCATATCTCTTTTGTCTGATTTGTCTATAGCTTTGTCTATCAATTTCAATAATCGGCTCGCAGGCTCACTTTTCAATTATGGGAGTATTATTTATTTCTAAATTTGTCCTAACACGGTTAAAACCACGTAGTAAAAATTGATAAATCCGGAGATTTTATGTTTTAAAATTTTTAGGCGTTATTTACCTACCCATTTATTAGTTCGCTCTGAAATATAATCTTTCGCTCTACTATTTTTGAAATTTGGGTATCTTTGTTAGCCACAGTGAAAAGAAGTGACGCAATTTGAGCAGAGATGATTTTGAACTTGCTGCCAAAAGGATTTCGTCCGAAATCAAGACGAAAAATTTTAGATCAAGAAGGAACTATAGGCTTTGTTGAAGAAAAAAGTAGCTTACAATATGCCCTGGACGGATCTCAAGTTCGAATTTGTTTCTCCTTGGTAGGGGTGTAAATTTTACCCACATTAAAAATTTAATCAGGCGAACTTTTAGATTCTCAGAGAATATTATGGTTTTGATTTTACAGCTATGATGTTCTGGTGGAGAATTGTAAAAAGTTTGGCTCCGCTTTCAACTAGAGCAATGCGAGATATGGCTCACGACTTTCAAGACGCGCTGTATGGTTTTGAATATGACGTAAAATCCAGGTAAAAATTTAAAAAAAATGTATATCTTTTTAAATTTTCAGTTCAAAAACGTTTATCTGATAAAAACCGATCTGAGGTTTTAATCAATCATGTTCATGGCTTGAATTTGACAGAGGAATGTGAAAATGATCCCCTCTAACTATTCAAAACTCACCTCATTCAAATGACCAATCAATTTCTTCACCCCACTTTAAACGGTCGTAATGCATGTATAAAACCACCAGAAGACGCGTTGAAACTGCAAATACAAAACACACTAGGGACGATGTGTGTAAGAAGATGTTTTGATAAATTACCCCATCTCCTTGAGGGAGGGGAAGGGAGTCTGACCTAACGTGACTGATGCGGGAGGGGGTATGTCCAACACTACATAACGACACGCAAAAATCTGCTCTGAGCACCGATTTTTGGAGAATTTTAAAAGTTTTGGAAAATTTATCGTCAAATATGCCGATTTTGTTTTTGTAAAAAGAGGAACCGAAGAAAACTTGATGTAACTGTTCAGAGTAGTGTAGAAATACGTGACGGGTGTACGTAACAAGGAGAGAAGGGGGGTTTAGAATGCTGAGTTTAAGCGTGACGTAATTTAGTACGGCTCAAAGGACGCTAATTTCCAAAAAAAATATCTCCGCACTTCTTTCACTCTAAGTTAGAGGAATGATATTCTTGAATTTGATCCTACACCGTATCTTTATTTCAGCTAATGCTGGTTATGATTGCAGAGCCCTTCTGTGCACTCAGACTGTCCTCGCAGCCTTCTCGTTTCCGGTAGCTCATAAAATCATGGATCGAAGTTACTTGGAGAGGATCAAACCCGGGGTAAGTGTTAATGTTCAATGATAAACTGTAAGTCCTCATATCTAATTTTCAACTTTTAGGCATAATTATGAGGTTTTTTACTTGTCCTCTTTCTCACTTTGATCAATGCGATTATTATATCAATGCATGCATTATTCTTGACGTTAAGAGTTTTAAATTTAGCAATAAACCCTTCAAATTTCTCAAAATTTGATGTAGGCTAGACTTAAAAATTGAGTAATAAAAAAGAGTGTGTTTTTCAAAGAGCACAAGTTGGGTAAAGTGTTAATCTTTGCATGCCTACTAAGTACCAAGGTCAGGCTAAAAAAGTAAATTTATCATAAGATTGTAAGGAAGGGTCTAAGAGAGGGGCAGGGGGTGGATTAAACCTGCGATGTAATTTCTAAGTCGGGTTAAAAGATGTCGAAAAATTGGAAAAAAAGCCTGACCTTATTTAGGGATTACGAACTAAACAACTTAGCCCTGAGCCCTAACAATTTAGGTAAAATAGCGCCAACTGCAGGCTGTAGGACTACACCCTAAAGCTGTAGGGCTGGACCTTAAAGCTGTAAGGCTCAGCACTACTGCCTGTAGTTGGTGCTATTTTACCCACAGTGTTAGGACTCAGCGCTAAGTTGTTTTTTTTCCGTGACGGTCTGTAAGTTCTGCACAACCGTCATGGGTTTTCATTTGTGTTCTTTGCAGTATAATTAGTAATTGTTGCTTTGTTTCTCTCTTCCTTTTTCCAAAATTCTACATTTTATTCTGATATTAAAGGTAACGGAAATGTTCGAGAATCTACGGCGTGCCTTCAAGCAGAACATCGCGTCGTACAAGTGGCTTCATGACGCTGATAAGCAGGCCATGACAGAGAAACTCGACGCCGTCAAGTTTAATGTCGGACTTCCTGATTTGACTTTTGACCGTGAAGTTCTTGATGAGTATTATAGTGACGTAAGAATTGACAAATTTTGCAGATTGTATTTGATTGTCCCGCATTTTTTCATCTCTCCAGTGCTTAATAATTTCCGTTCACCATGAGAACCATGTTGAGTAATGTTCAAAGAAATTTGCTGATAATTTTTTAAACCTGCAACAAGAGACGATTTATAAATTTTTTTAGATGGAAAGAGAGATGATTTCGTATTTCTCTCACGAAAGAAAGTGACACCATTTCCATGTTGCGCAAACCAGGACTTTAACCAGGATAATATTGGGAATTTCTAATTAATAATTTCATTGATTTCCCCCTAGATCATGCAAAAATCACACAAGTTTTCAACGAAAATTGCGCAGGTACATTCTTGTAAAAAATCGAATTGTTTGGGTCTATTTGGCAACCCTGGAATTAAGTTACGTTCCTTTGTTCGGGGAACGACAATTTGTCCCATTACGTTATTGGGTTTTATTAATATAATTTTGGGGAAGTGGCCTCCCTTTTAGGCCCACCATCAAATGACACGTTGATATTCTTTATTACACTCTAACTATATTAGAAAAACCTCTGAAAGAAACCTCTGTTTGTGGTAACGATTTCCCGATGTATACTGAAAACAGTCGCATCTTATCCATTAAATGACCAGTGAAACGTAAAATAATTGAAGGCTGCAGTTTTCGCCGACAAGATAGTATTTGGTCCCAAGACACGGAGTTTTTTCATGACATCACCATGCAAAAATGCATTCAAATTTAAACTAAAGGAAGTCTGTGTTTGAATGCAAAAATCGAAACATTTCCTGCTCATCATACTCGGAAATGCACATTTTTTCATGTTCAGTCAAGTTTTTTTGTAATACAGTTTACCAGAAAAAAATATTACATATTTAATACGCAAAAATGATTTTCAGATTTACGTTTGTGAAGAGCACTATGCACAAGTTTTGGTCAACTACTCGAGTTATATTGTCATGACGACACTAGCTTCATTCAACCAGACGTTTGACTCCGAAGAAGAAGCTGACACCGAATGGTATTACGCTACTAAACTGAGTTAAAACCGCATAACTTTTAGAAAAAACGGTGTGCTAAGGAAAAACACCGTATGAGCATTTGAGAAGTGACAAAGTTCCTCCGACAGAATGTCAACTTTTGAGGAGAGCCATGAATATTTTCTATCGAAATTTTCAGATGATTCAGATTTGATTAAGGATAAATTCTCTTAATCACTGGTGGATGAATCTTCGCAGATTTCCATGAAATCTAGTGTTGCTTCAAAGGAAAGTAGGCAACATCTGAAGGCTTACACGGCGTTCTTCCTTCAGCATGGCAGTATATCGACGGTGAAACTACCAAACCACGCATCTCGGTTTGCGACGTCGCAGACTTCCTGTCATACTTTATTTTTTAAATGAAAAACTACTTAACGTCCAGTCTTGAAAATTTCTGTGATTTTTCCTCTTCGTGCGGAGAAAATTCTGTGAAAATTTCAAGGAATGATATTGATTTGGTCTACCTCAAAAAAATAAAATGCGAGCGTAGATTTTTAAACACCGCAAACGAGATACGTGGTTTGGTAGTTTCACCGTCGATATGTGCTTTAGTGGTGATGTTACCCCGAGAATTCTCAATTATATTGAATTGAATGCAAATAATTACGTGGACATAATATCTATCAATGCTACCAATCAGAGTAATAGTTTAACAAAAAAAAAAAAAAAAAAAAAAAAAAAAAAAAAACCATACCATTTAAGTCATTCAAAATACCGTAGAAACCCTTATTGATGCGATAACAATTGATCTGATACACAGTGGTCTTGAAGCAAAAAAGAAAAAGGGTGCCTGTCGTTCTAATTATGTTGTTCAATTTCGTATGATTTTGTGCAACACCTCTGTTGCGAAATAGTTGCTTGAAGCGTCGGGCCGCGGCCCGCCGGGTGCGGGCGACCAGCGCATCGGCGCCTACAAACCTAACAGGGATACTTCACGCATTGCGCAATGCGTGAAGTATCCCTGTTAGGTTTGAAGGCGCCAGTGTGCGTGTCGCGCTGGCAGCACGTCGCTCCGCTCTGTGTTTGGCTCTAATATGTAAACTCGCGGAGTCAGCGTTTTTCAACTCAGGATTTTAAAATGTTTGCACACTCATTAATATGGATTATTCTCATTAATATGGATGAAAAAAAAAATATGTTTTAAAGGAAAATATACTGTGTGTTTAGTAAATATTAAGGTGGCTCCGTGTCAAATTGAGGGTTATACAAAATCGGCGATTTTGCCCCCCTCTTGGATTTTGCCCGAAGTTGGATATGTTGTTCCCTATCACAAGACACGCCTTTTTCCGGCGTTGGCAAGTTCACCCGAAATTTTTCCCGCGCGCTACAGCGTTGACAAGTTGAAAACAGGCAAATGCCGTAAGTGGTATTAAAATTGAACCATGAAGTTGCGGTTTTAACGAAAATTCTTTAAAAACTGCGCACTTTTAGGAAATGACCATCTAATTTTGCCGTGAGCAGAAAGAATTTGACTCAGCTTGTAGAAAGTTTAACGAGATTTAACTGTGGAAGTAACCAATTTTGTCGTCTGATCAACTTCTGGCAAGTCACTGGACATAATCCGCGAAAAAGGCCGATTTTAAGCCATTTTTGCAAAATTTGGCAACTTCTTGGCAACAATTTTTTCATGAAATGGTCAAATTCGGATTCAGCGCCAAAAATTATATGGGAAACCATGGAATTAATGCTACCCGGTGTTTTTGGAGGCGAAAATTTCTATCTGCCCGGACTCAAAAAGCGTCGTCGCTCCTTAAAGCTGTTTACAAAAATGATGATATCTCGCGAACCAAAAGTTTCCCTGCAGGCTATAATATATCGATGGATGTGGAATCAAATGAACTATCGATTAGACTACTTTTCATTAAAATTTGAAGATAGATTTTTGGGGTATTTGCGGATTTGTAAAATTTGTCGAATTTAATAATAGAAAAATTGACGATAATGCATGTTAAAATTAATGCGACATTAAAAAGATGGTCATTATTCCTGAAAGTGCGCAGTTTTTCTGATCGCGGAAAATCCATTGCGCAATGCGTGAAGTATCTCTGTTAGGTTTGTAGGCGCCGATGCGCTGGTCGCCCGCGCCCGGCGGGCCGCGGCGCGGCGCTTCAAGCAACTATTTCGCAACAGAGGTGTTGCACAGTATTATACGAAATTGAAGGCTCCAACACAATTAGTACGACAGGTATCCTTTAAGAGTACGGAGTTTTTCTAAAAAAAAATAAATCAAGATACGATGGCACAAAAAGAGAGCGGTAATCCAAAAACTCACTAAGTTCTAGCATCTGTATTGAGGTTTTGCATACTTTTTTAATTTAATTAGAGAAAAAGGGACTTGATTTAGACAAAAACATTTTTAAGTTTGCCATTAGAAGATTCCTTCTCTTCATCAGAGGAAAAGCCACCGGCCATCTGAATTTCTGCCATCAGAAGATTCAAGTATGTAATAAGCTGAGATCAGATTTTACGCAGTGGCGTGGCGTGCTTTGCGATTTATCGATTGATTCACCATTCAAACCTATGAAAAAAGATCGATTATCAGGGTGTTCGCAGCGAACACCTTAGTAATCGATTCTTTACCATAGTTTCAAATGGCGATATATCGATAATCGATCCTTCACGCCACGCCACTGATTTTACGACATATTCGTAACAACAATTGCTGCAGACGCAGCTGAGGGCGAATTGTTTAGTTAAAATAAAGAGTATGATAGTAAGTCTGCATGTAACGAGAAGGTATGTATTCGATCGGCATGAATCGAACGAAATATAAAAACGTGAACCGATCAACACCGATTCAATGGACAAATAATGCGGATCAAAATCTGTAGAAAACTTGCTTTCACTATGAAAATTTCAAATTGCAAAATCTCGAAACTACGGTCAGCCAAGATTTGGATTTTCCGCGATTTTAAGTCTATGCTACAAACCTTTTTTGTCGCATTTTTTTTCTTGCTTCAAGACCACTGTGGATGACTCACAAATATTTTATACCCTCTGCTCAAAAATATGAACTTGCCGGTAGATCATCTCAGTATGGACTTAAAATTTTTTGATTTATTCCAAAAAAAAAGGAAAGAAGAATTTTACCGGTGGGGTGATATTAATTGCGCGCAAGCTGTTGTCACAATTGTCGGGCCAGATTTTCAGAGGGACGTCAGCTGGTTTTAAAAATTATCGTATTTTGGCTTTTCTTTTAATTTTTGTGGTTCATCGCAGAGACCATTTCAACACCCGGAACTCACTTCGAGTTTTACTTGTTGCAAAATAAAGCACCTAATAGTATTTTCAGAGTTTTTCACTGGTATATTTAAGTGTGCCTATGAAACTATCATATTAATGATTTCTTTTTGAGCACATCTACATGGTAATACTCCTCTCCTAATTCATGAAAGAATTTTGGTTTCATAGTTCGCAGGCAACACCGTACAAATTATTCTGAAAATAATTTTATGCTATAATAATACTGACCTGAGTTTATACAATTTTCAGGGGCTCCTTAAATTTATTTACATCAAACGCATTCTATTTTCCTGAGAAAAATTCAATGGGTAAGTTCATTTCTAGCCAAACTAAACCATAATTTCAGCCAAGAATGGAGAGATCAAAACCATGAATTTTGACGTAACTGACACTAAAAAAAATTGGACGTATTTCTACCAAACGGAACTATGTGCATTTAGACGTGAGCCCTATGACCCATAAGAACATATACATAACAGGACTCACGTCATAATGCACACTGTTCTGTTTGGCAGAAATACGTCTAATTAAGGTTAAACGCGGATTAAAAAAAATAAAAAAAAAATGGAATGATGTGCAATTTAAATCTGTGTCAATCATGTCAACCGTTAACTCATTGTTCGCTCTCATAATGATTTTGCCTATATTAAAAATGTAAGGGACAAAATAACTTATTTTACACTTTTTCTGTTATTCTGTGGATAGAATCACAGCAAGATAGAAGTCATCCTTGTAATTTTTCTCCAAGCATTTATTGTGTTCTTTTGATTCTTTTGATCGAAAGAATAGATAACATAGTCGCCTCCCAAAGAAGTCTTCTCACCGTAATAATTGCATACTTGTATTTGCACTATTTTAAAGATTAAAAACGGATGAGAATATATATAATGGTATATTTATGTATGCCTAGTATTAGTATACTCGTAGGTAACACCTATTCATGTATACCAAATACATTCGAATATCATTGAATATTTTGCTGCCTCTATTTAGGCCTTATCTTCACGGGCTGTTTCACGGAGTTTGTCCCGGGGTAAAATATTCCACTTACATAGTCGGGAAAAATATTGAGTTAATCAATATTTTTCCGAATACCAAGTATGGTCCTTCTACCCCTAAGACCAATCAAGAGAAGAAAAGAATAGTGAAAGCGAACTATGCGATATTTTGTTCGTCACTTCATTGTTCTTGTTTGTTCAGTTAAAATAATATGTCTAATTGTCAATCGTGTTCCCGATTGTCAATTATTTTGATCCCGGTTAAATACTCGATTTTTACTAACTTATCTTCCCAAGCAAACTTGTCGTAGGACCGTATGAGCCCCGCCCCGTGGATATAGTAAGTGGGAAAAATCCCATTTCATTCCTGCGATTCCAACTCGGGACAAATCCCATGAAAACGTCCCGTGGAGACAAAGGCCAAAGAGTGTGTACAATATTATGTAGATTATATCCAGACAACAAGACTATACTGATTTATTGAAATTTTTTGATAATTTATTCTGGACCATTTCTAAAACTTGCTAGGGCATTTTTTCTCCTTTTTGCTTCGAGATTTTAAATGAGCTAATTTAAATACATATATATCCTATATGAGCATAGGAAAACAAGACGTTAATAGCTTGAGATGCTAAATGTTTTTCAATAAATTAACTAACTAACTAACCAACTTTCTTAATATATGTGTTCTTTATACATCAAGTATTTACTCAACTTTACCTAATGAATTTCTGTCCTCTAGTCATTCTAATGCCACAACTGGAACATCCTTTCTACGATCTTGGTTTAGAGTAAGTATAAGCTCTTACGTCCAATGTTTTTTTCATATTCACAGAGTTTATTAAAACGTTCACTTCAAATAAACAGGAAGAACAAGCATTCGTGGTTTTTGGATTCCTGATAAAATAAAATTTTCCAAAAATTTAAAAGCCACTTCTGGATTTCTGAAATTGCTCATGACGCGTCTGGTAAATGAAACCAGATGCATCAGTGGCAAGTCGTAAATGTTCGATTATCGATACTTCTCCATTAGAAGCTTTGGTACCGAGAATCGATTATTAAGATATTCGTTTCAAATACCGCCTATTTATCGATCCGTATACATAGGTATAAATGGCAGATCCTTCGATTTATCATAAAACACGCCACGCCGCTGAGATTCATGATAAAACGAACAAGAATCCAATTCTGGTAAGTAGATTTCCTGAAGATAATAAACCATCACGATATTTTCGGTATCTCATATCAAAATTGCGCAAGGTCGCAAAAAATCTTTGAAAAGATTATTATTTCCGTTCCCAGGTTCAATTTTTTTGTAATTTAAAATGAAGTCAAGGCGTTTAAATAAATAATTATCTATAGCCATACCAGCAGAATTTTAAAGCTCAAAACCATAATCCTCACATTTCGATTCATCAATTTTCAGATCTATGAAGTTTTTACTTATCCTATCTTCTCCTATACGTAATACTTGAACGTCTCCTATAACCATAAAAAATATTTTTTTCAGAGCTCTGAACTACGGTGCTCTCGGCTCTCTAATTGGACATGAGCTGAGCCATGCTTTCGATAACAGTGGTAAGTAAAAGTATCGCGACACTCAGGATGTTTCTCTTCCTCTCTTTCTACCCGTCTGATAAGGTTATTATTTCTCTTTTCATAAAAAATATGCAAATTTTAAGGACATTCTCGTCACCAAAATATTCTATTAGGGTATAAGCCCGATTATTCATATCGCCCTCTGCTTTCGTGGGCTCTCGTGAAAATTGAGATACGCCCTTACATCAGAGGAGTGACTGAGAGTCACATTCTGCCGAGCTAAGGAGGAACGCCCTATGAACATTTAGAAGTTGCCAAATTCCCCTCAGTAAAACATGTATTTTTGACGACTTTCTTGCATATTTTTCCCTGAAATTTTCGAACAATTTAGATTAAATTGCGTACGAAATTGTCTGAAAATTTCAGCAAAAAATATTCACAATTTGCCCAGTAAATTTAGTGTTTATCGGAGGGAACTTGGCAACGTCTGGAGGCTCACGCGGCGTTCTGCCTAAGTACGGCAGCATTGAAATGTGATTTTACGTCCCTCGTTGGTAAAAAAAATAGATTAAAATAAACAGATCGCAGGTTCACAGTTTGCGGAAATCTGTCTCGTCAGAGACTTAAATTCCGATTTTTTAGATCCAAATTGAAAACAAATTGCTGCCCTGAAATATGTACTTTCGTGAACTTACGCTCTTTTCTTGCAGGCAGTTGAAAACTGATTTATCTGCATTTTTTTCTAGAATTACAATTTTGACTTGACACAATGCCATCCTTTAGATCATCGCAACTATCCAATCTAGCCTGAATTGGACGTATTTCTATCAAACGGAACTAGGTGCATTAAGACATGAGCCCTGAGACTCATAAGAATATGTGCATAACAGGGCTCACGTCATAATGCACTTAGTTCCGTTTGATAGAAATACGTCCAATTTATGATAAATTACTAGGATAAGAGTTTCAAATAGGTAGTTGACAAAACAGCATACACGGAAGCATGCATTTTTCATAACTTTCTGTTCTCCTCTTCAAATATAGGAGCTCCAATTGAGCCCAGCTCCTCGCTTTAATTGACCGTTATTACACCGACAGGTCACACAATATTCCCGCTATTCATTGTCATACTTCATGTCTACTAGTTTTTCAACCCAGTCGATCAATCGTTCAAGTAGGCCATCAAACCTTTTAAAGTGCTTCCATGCCTTCACTGATCCGTGAAGATGCCTGTTACTAAATAATTTAGCGTAATTTTACTAATAAAATTGCGCGAAATTCTTATTTTCAGGGCGAACATACGATAAAATCGGCAACAAAGTAGTCAAGTGGATGAACTCCTCTGTGGTTAACTATGTCAACAAAACGGAATGTTTTGTTGATCAGTACAGTGCGGTTTATATACCCGAAGTTGATCGCCACGTAAGTTCATTTTTCGGTCTAAAGCATATTGTGACGTGGTAAAAATAAAACAAAAAAAACTTACCATCCCTATTTCTAGTTTTTAGTGTCAGAAAAACTAAAATATTCGGGTATTCCACTGATTAAGTGATTACTATGTTTACAATTCTTATGAAGTGCCTACATTTTGAAATTCTTAAATTTCTGATGCGGTCGGAACGATTAAGTGGAGCGATAGAAAATTTGTAATTGGTATGAAGGATGCTTAGTTTTGAAAAAGGATGAGTTTAAATTTCATTTTGTTATCATTGCATTCACCGGAGAAAGAAACAACTTACGACGCGAACATTACAAATTAAGACGATGATTGGCCAGCTTTCCTTGGCTTATTGGAATGTCCTACTTTTCCATTCAAAGCTGTTCTGCGGAAAATAATTTTTCCAACTTTTTCAATTTTTATTCGCAGATAAAAAAGATGCACAATCTTTTGCCAGTAGAGGTGGATTATCTAAAAAGAAGACGAAAATCAAAACGAGTTTTAACTTTTGTTTCAGGTGGATGGACGGAAGACCTTAAATGAAAATATCGCCGATAATTCTGGGCTGAGATTGGCTCTAACAGCGTATCGTATGTGGGTCCAGGATCATGGGAAAGAAAAATTGCTCCCGGGTTTGGAAGGACTTAGCCATGAGCAACTCTTTTACTTGAGTTTTGCCGGGGTAATGCAAATCTAACTCAATTGTAGAGTAGAAATTAAAAATCTGGTAAGCGCTATCAGGTGCTGTGCTATGATTGTGCATACTGTTCCTCACAGAGAAATATCCTAAATGTCATCTCTTCATGGAATTGTTATGGGGGAATATCCTCTAAATTTGGCTATATTTCCGTTGAGAGAATTTGTATTCTAGGGACACTAGATTCCCGTCAATGAAGAAAATAATATACAAATCTTGGCAACATCTTATAGCGCTAACCTGCGTTTGAATTTTCACTTTTCCATTAAAACGATCTACAGGAAAAGATACCGTATGCTCAACAACATTTCAAAATTGAGTAATTGGCGCAAAATTGTTTGAAAGAATGTTCCGCGATTATTTTGGGACAAAAATTTTCAAAAACATCAAACTACATATGTAATGGAGTAATGATTATTCCAAAAATCCAGTTCAGAGTACGTAGCTCCCGAAAAAATATGTTTAAAATTTCGTCTGGCATTTGCGGTACTAAATTGCCGTATTTATGATTCAATTTTATGACATGTATTGGCAGCAGAACGAACTTAACTGCTTGCAGTTAATTCTTTGCAACCATTCCCCAATTGTTGCGTTGTCTCTGATAAAATATTTTTTCGAGACAGAAGTTGCGAACATTTTTCCTTGAAAATTTCAGATATTCTAAATTCAGTAGCGAGTATAATTCTACGAAAAATTCAAAGAAAAAAATTCATAATTTACACAGTTATCAGGTATTTTATCCGATGTTTGGCATCGTTTCGATGGTCTTACAGCGTTTTCAAGAGCACGGCGGCTGAAGGTATTTTCAGCGCCTCATTTGTCATTGCACTACCATAAAACTGCAACCAACCGTGCGACAGTCACGGTAATTACCTTCGTAGATATCAAATTGATACGATGGATGCTGTAACTATATACAACAGTTTTAATGGTTTTCAGCGGGTTGGCGATAACTATCGCACGTTTACAAGGAGCCAGTTCTCACACCTACTCCATATATTCTTCCACATCTCATTTGAACGCACGAGTATTTCTGGCAAACGAAACTATGTGCATTACGACGTGAGCCCTGTTAAGCATATATTCTTTTGGATCTTAGGGCTCATGTCTTAACGCACATAGTTCCGTTTGACAGAAATACGTCTATTTATCCTTCGTGCGTTCTTCTAATTATCATTTTTGTATGGCATTTCCGGTTGCAGGCTGATTGTCACAGCATATCGGACCAGGGCTTATTGAACCTGTTGCAAGACGAACACAGCCCGACTAAAGTGCGGGTCAACATCACTTTGACGAATATTCCCGATTTTTTCACGGCTTGGAAGTGTGAAGGCCCCAACACGAACCACCGCAAATGCAGACTTCTCTAATCAAAGTTTTTTTGGATTCTTCTCAATCGAGCCGTCCATCAATTGGGAGATTTTAACCGGAATCAACCTCACTGGAATTCATGTTGTTTAAATTCCTATAAAGTTTTATTTCTTTCGACGGACGTTAAAACAATACAACATTCTGAAACTCTTGTAAAATTCCCTTAACTTGTACAGAGAATACTCATAAAATATCAAGATGTACCTTGATTTCCTTGTGAAGAAATATAATGAAATAAAAATGAGTGGTCATCCCAAGTAGATAGTTAGGCTGATTCCGTTTCGATTCGTCCCATTCCTTCCTGCTATAATTGGGAATTTTAGCCCCTGCAAAACCCCCATCACGGACATATTGCTGCAATGTCTTTGCCTGCCCTGAACAAGTTCGGCACGTTTTATTTACCTCGCCCGGTTTATTTTAACGATGGATATTTTTTGTTGTTCTTTCATACAAAAACTCATGACAAATGTTTAAAAAATCGGCATTTTGCGCCGATTGTTGCGCGATTTGCTATTTAAAACTGTCAGCATTGTTATCCATCCAGTTAAATCTATTATGAGTAATCGATTCGAAGTGAAACACTCTATGGCGGCCAATATAGATAGTTTTATATGCACTGAGAAAAAACTATGGTTTATAAACCTATTAGAGGTAAATATGGAACACCTATAATAGTCGTAAATAAACTAATGATTCTCGGTCTGTGAACCATACTAAGGTCTCTGTACCTAATTAAGGTACCCCGTACCATAACTAAGGTATATGTGCTATTATTATATGTAGAGGTACTACTATTAGTGGTGTTCCATATTTACCTCTAATAGGTTTATAAGCCATAGTTTTTTCTCAGTGTGCATTTAATCCTCCCAGGAAGTAAACAAACATCGATACATCGAACAAAATTTGCAAAAAAACTAGTTTTCCTTGTAAAAATACAGCTGTTTAAACAAGTGTAACGCTGATTTTCCTTTTCATTTGATTAAATTTCGATCATTATGAACTATAGTTATTGCTCGTAATGCAAGATGGTAGAAAATATTACTTCTGGTGCATCATCAGAAGCACGCATATTCATAGAGAATTCAAAGACACGTGCCTTGTTTCTAAAATGAGTTCTAAATAGTAGTTTCTTCTTGCAAAATGCAGTCCAGTTAAGAAATAGAGGTAATCGGAAGAAATCAAAGTCGAGCACAACTTCAAAGCGCCTTCAGATTTCTCTACAGGCAATTTGCCGAACGTATCGGCAGCCTTGTTTTTTGTTCGCTTGGATGTGAAGGGGTTTCGAGGGAGACACGGTTTTTATTTAAATTAGGTGACACCAGAAAGTTTGCTTATCGCGAAACTTAAACATGATTCTAGCAATATAGTTTTGGTACTCAGCGTGAGTGTGAAGAATAAAAACAGACAGGGTCGAAAAAAAGAGAGCATGAAATGTAACGCCGAGATTTTCTTGTAATAAGTTGAAACTTTTCTATAGCTTTGAAAATTCCTACGGCGATTGCTTTAACTTTAAAAATGGTCTCTGGTTATTGTGATTTTTCAGCCGTTTTCATTAAAAAAAAAAAAAAAATTATCCCTTTCTCATTCCAGCAAAACTAAGCAACAAACTGATACTTTTATTTTACATCGTCGTCTCTAACTCGAAAGAACGTAAGTGAAATGCAGTAATTTAAAATATACATTAGTAAGTTGAATATTTACTTAATAATTATTGTGCGTTCCTAACTAAATTTTCACTGATTTCTCCTCTGACCACACACCAAAACCTGCAAAATTGGACAAAAATTGCACAGCCACATTTTTCAAAATATTTCATTTCTCAAGTGAACTTAGAAACCTTGGAATGGAGTTACGTAGCTGTGTGCTAAAAACGACGAGATGCATCAAATTATAAACACTCTCTTCGGTACGTAACTGCCATTTGCGTGCCCTTTAAAGAAAATGCCTGTAAACTTACAATGTAAACCTACCAACAAGGATAAAAACAGCAAGGATCCGGCTAAAAGCCTCTTAGAGATAACACTGTAAAGCACAGCTATATTCGATGCATGTTAATGCCAATTTATCATACTCATTCGCACAAAAAAAGATGGGAAACAGGTCCAGATCTGGAAATAAATTTACATGCTACGCGCTAGACGGTAAGTTCAAGTGTGTCCCGCAGCGAATCGAACACTTCAACTCGAATTTGTGTAACGTGTATAGATGCGTGCGTCTGATTGTGGCCCTACATAGATGCTTTTAAAATGCTTCGGTGACAACTGCTATGCGTGGAACGCACTAAAGCCGGGGCTATTAATTATTCAACGCTGTTATGACACTACTGGCACGAAATGTGCGAGAACCGCTTTTCAGCGGAGACTGCGGATTGGCACCGCACCACCGCAAGAGACAGCTGAACTTGTCGGCCAGTAATAATAGCTAATTGGGAGTGATGCTTACCCGCGCTCAAATAATAATCCCTTCCTCATATATTTTAATTTTATGGGAAAGATGCCGTGGGCGAAAGAACAGTGTTGACCCCGCGCTGAAAGAAAAAGCTGATAGTTTAGGAGCTGTAATAAGCCTCTAGCCAAGGTATGAATTCATGCAATACGTTTGCTCTTCGAGATTTCATGGGGAAATACTATTCATGTGACGAGAAGTCTCGAAATCAACTCTTGAACAAGATAATATAAATATGTACGATATACATTCGTCAGCAAAACGTCACATATTCCCTACATCATATACACAGGGTTACGTGTTATGACGCTTTTCAACGATTTGTCGCTCTTTATTTCAATTTTAATATATAAAGGACGGAAAATGTGCTGTCTATTACGCTGACTTTTTACCGCGTAACAGACAGCACATTTTCCGAATTTACACAACATTATTTGAGAAGTAGAGCAATAAATCATTAGAAAGCAATACAATACGTAACCCTTTGAATATTAATGCGAAAAAATTTTAGCGATTATCATTTCTATTAAAAATATGACCGAAAAATGTGTTGTCTGTCACGGCGATAAAACTACACCATTTATCGTGAAACCACCCTATATCGTCACTCCTCTGATATAAAGGCGTATCTTTATTTCTGCGTGGGTCCTTTTGTCCATATAATGCCATGATTTCCGGGGCTCATGTAAAAATTGAGATACGCTCTTACGTCAGAGTATAGTGACGATATGGACCTTCTGTAAATGTGTCTCGGCGACTCACAGTGGATCGAGTCAATCGGAGAGATTTGACTAAAGGACCCTACAACAAAACGGCCAAATCGGCCTAAACACGGAATCGTACGATTTTCTCAGGGATGATAGAGGGTCTTCCCAGACACTCAAAACTGGTCATATTTTTTGCCTAACCCCCAGGGAAAAGGGGGGGAGAGGGGATCAAAGTCAAAACCTTTAAATTAGCATAACTTCTCAACGGTTTGTCGTAAAAAGATGATCTTGGTGTCAAAATTTCCAGGAAAATGAGAGCTTTCAGAATGTATGTATGAAATTAATAAAATTTTAAAATTTGACCCACTTTTGGGGCATTTTACAAGGTCCCCCTTTCGTAAATTTTCGTTTTTTGAGATTTT